ACCCTTTTCCATACGAAAATCTGTTAGCCCACAGGTTTCTCTGGCTACTGCGATCTCCTGCACCAAATTACAGTTTTGTACCATAATTTAGTACTTAGTTATGATACTTTATAGGTTTTCGTTTATTGGAGTTTTGTAAGCGTGACAGTGGTCCGATACCACTCATCTGCAATACCGATCTCCCTTGGGTGCCAAGGAACATAAGTAGCATGTACTATTATATGGTACTCTGTAACATAGCAACATGTTGCAAGAATATAGTTAAAAATGTGCGTTAAGTGTGTTAAACATGGTAAAATAGCATGCATTAGTTTTACAATTTTTGGACTTTATATACAAATATATATATATATATACGTATATTGATTAATCTGAAGAACCTTCCCTATCCCGCCATACCATGAGAACGCGGCACCAAAGAAATCGGAGTTTTGGGCGGGCTTGAGTAAATTGGGCACGATTGCAATTTAATTTTGTCGCTAAAAACTAAGGACAAATGGATATTTCTTTCTGATTTTGAAAACAATTAGTACAATTTAAGATATGGGATCAAAATATTCAGTATGTATGTACGTACTACATAATCATGGAAATTTTATTATTATGTATTGTGTTTCTTAACTCTTATTGAAGGAAAAGCTCTATTTTGCTGATTTCAAAATAGCAAATTAGTGATCTAGAAATCCGATATTATTATTTACGATCAGTTAAACGGGATCTCCTGCCGTTAATGTTAATTCACCGAATAAGTTGGTTTATTAAATTCCAGCTGATTGAAGGATAAATGCAGACGAACTTACACACATTCATACGTAACTGGTTGGAATCCCTTTTAAGAATATTTTGCCCGCACAAACGTTTACAAATGGTCATTATTTCTATGACAAAACCTACATTCAAAACATGTTTTTTATTGTTCTAGATTTGTCTATATCTAGCACTATTTAATACACAATTGAAAATACCATACATATTTAATTGTACATTGTAAGTCACCGTAGTTGAATAAAAACAAATAAGGCAATCGGATGTGCAACAATTATTTAGGCGCCTTTACAAAACGGAAAGGAAGAATGCAAATAACCAACAATACAAACAATAGTTAAATAGCCCGGCTATTGTCCAAGTAGTTGCCGTAGTTTTTAATCCTTATATTCATACACTTTCACACACCAATACACACATACATACATATGTTCACAGTTGTGTTCAAAATGGCGATAGTGCGACTTTTTTGTACGCGCAAATAAGAATTATAGTTCCTCAAAAGAGTCACTGAGTGTCAGTACGAAAGCGGTATGGAGCATTCTACGTTAACACAGTGATTGTGTATGTTGTAAATATTCAACTTTTTAAATTTTAATATTTATAAGAATACTCATGGGGGTCATAATTTAAGGTAGGTGAAAGAAGGAAATTAATGAACAGAACTAATTGGTAATAGCAACACAGAATTTATCGTGAATAAAATCATTATTTGATAGTGTGGCTACTGTTTGTGTTTTCTAAAATACCGTTATTCAATTAATACTTTTAATAAAGAGTTTTTGAAAAATTTAATTTATGCGTTATATATTTTCAAATGACAATTTAAAATGTAAAATGTGACATGTAACTTCACTTTTTTTAATTATTGAATTTCAATGATAATGGCGAAAGTGAGGCACATAAAAAATTAAAAGTAAATATTGACTTAATGTGTGTATGCCCATTGTTTATAAATGGCGAAAGAGCTCAAATTTTGTTCCAATACCAAGAAAATCGATTTTACCGTAAAGTCTAAAGATTAATATTTCAATAATTAAATTGAGGTAACATATCAAGACCAATAGAATTAGATATAATTCTATAATCTATGTATGACGACTTCATCAGTCGGATGTTGCAATCTTGTCTCTATCATTCTTGGTAACATATAAGGAGGGGTTGAAGGAACTAAATCGAAGGAACCAATAACATTTAATTAAAAAAACATAAGTACAAGGAACGGCAAAAAAATGTTGGGCTTCTATGAAAATAGTTTCAAGCTTCCAAAAATAAAAAAATAAACCAGAAACATGTAGCCTAAAAGGATGGACAGACGAATACACAAAATTTTCATTGAATTCCAATTTATGTATGTACATACCTCTATACAAATGCATCTTTTCTTTATATAATTTGTATGTAGATACAATTCTCCGATTCTTTCGACCAACCGAATTTAGTTCTGGTTAAAGGAATAATTTATTAAGGTTTAATCAGATGAGTTTTTTATACGCAAGGCACTCCAGTGCAAATGTCGTATGTATACATACACATGTTATTCCTCTGAATATTGGTCAAACCAATAACTGCCGAGCTGTGTGTACAGATGCAGCCGAACATTATATACTCTCGCAATTTCAACGAAATTGAGATCCGATTACTATTATATTTTGCATCCTATTATCTTATAATACTTAAATACTTAACTAACTGAATAATAATATTGGAGCCGGTGGGAGGTCCATGTCGATACAATTATTATACTCTCGCAACTTGTTGCTACAGAGTATAATAGTTTTGTTCACCTAACGGTTGTTTGAACCACCTAAAACTAATCGAGTTAGATATAGGGATATATATATATAAATGATCAGGATGAAGAGACGGTTCCGTCCGTCCGTCCGTGCAAGCTGTAACTTGAGTAAAAGTTGAGATATCTTTATGAAACTTGGTACACATGTTTCTTGGTACCGTAAGACGGTTGATATTGCAGATAGGCGTAATCGGACCACTGCCCCGCCCACAAAACGCCGTTAATCAAAAACAAATAAATCGCCATAATTAAGCTCGGCAATTTGGTACCCAGGATCACATTAGGAAGGGGCATCGGCAGTTTAAATTATTTTTTAAATGGGCGTGTGCCTAATAGGTTTAATGTGCATATCTCCTAAACCGCTAAAGCTATAAAGAAGCCACTCCCCATATAACGTTACGAACTGTTAAAATATACTAAAAGCGCGATAAACCAAGCACTAAACACGCCAGAGACATTAAATTTTATCTCTAGGATGGTATGAGATGACTTTATTGGAATCGCGTTCAAAATTAGTCAGTTCCTTTTTAGGTGAAAACCCACATCTTGGGATCTGATTAACCGATTTCAAATTCGGTAAATAAATCGGCGAAATCGGATTACAACCACACCTATTTCCCACATAACTCCATTTTAAATTCCATCTGATTTCTTCACTTTCCAGTATGCAAATCAAGCAACAATGATTATATCGGCGTAAAACTTTGCGTGAATAATACTTTTAAAGTATGCCACCTTGTGACTAAAAATTATCTAAATTGAATCAAAACTGTTCAAGCAACTAGGTACTGAATATGTGGACCCCAGTGCCTATAGTTGACCTTCTACAGAAAATATCGGTCAATCCACAAAGAAATCTCAAACGAGTATACCATTTGACTTTGCGAGAGTGTAATATGTTCGGTTACATCCGAACTTAGCCCTTCCTTACTTGTTTTTTACTGCTGTCTTTCTTGAAAAAACTATAATAGTGTCAACAATTTCGGTTTTCAACCGAACTGCATTGTGGTTGAAGTGTTTTCAAATATCAACTTTTGTTGGCATTACGGTTTTCAACTCTGCGCCAGTGGGGTTGACTAGAGTATCAAAAAATTTCAACTGCTAACAAGCAATTGGTCCCAACATGTTTGTCATTTATTTATTTATTTACTCTGTGTGTTGATTTCATTTCAAACTTGATTTTGATCGGTGGTGGTGGTTGTAGCGGCAGAATTTGATCGGTCAATTTGTATGGCAGCTATATGCTATAGTGGTCCGATCTAAATAATTTACCATTGTGCCATTGGCTTAAACAATAGTCCGTAACAAATCTCTTTAAATAAAAAAGTTAGCCATGCAAGGACATGGTTTTGACCGTTCAGTTTGTATGGTAGCTATATACTATAGTGGTCCGATATCGGCAGTTCCGACAAATGAGCATTGGGGTTTAAACGACGTGTTAAAAGTTTCAGATAGATATGTCAAAAACTGAGGGACTAGTTCGGGTGTATGCAGACAGACAAATGGATATGGGTAAATCGACTGTCGTCATGCTGATCATTTATGTATGCATATATTTTATACTTGTAGGGTCTCCCGGAGTTATTGAAAAATTTTAAATTTCAATTATTATCAATTTGAATAAAAGTAGGCGTAAAGTCATTTACAATATACAAAAAAAAAATATAGAAGGTTTGTATAGTGCAGCGGTACTATGCTTTGCAATCCGTCATTTTGGCGGGGAACTCAAACGGAATTTTGGCGGCACTCCCCCGAGTAGATGGACCATTATGAGGGCGGTTGGTAAATATATTAGCCGAATCTGAAAGTATCGGAAGAAGACCTCACCATCGAGATCCATATGTTCGTGTTGAAGAAACAATCGCGGCTGTTGCATCGTCAATTCAGGGAAATCGCAGAGTTTCAACAACCAACTTATTGGCGTAACTTGGAATTAGCAGACGGTCATTACAACGGATAATTCATGATGACTTATGACTTTCCATACTAAATTCAATTAACAAACCGGTTAAACCCTCTAGATGCCTATTCGCCTGGAATTTAGCCAAAAAATAGGCCGCAATGAATAATTAATTTTCTAATTAGGTTTCGCATATGCGTGGCTGATCAGGGAGGTCATTTACGGTCCATAATTTTAAAAATAGTTAATTATATTAAATAAAATAAAATTTTCCACACAGTACAAAAAAATATAATGAATTGATTAAAAAAAAAAGTTATTACGATTTGTTTTAGTAGCAAGATGCGTTAGCCACCCTGTACAAAAACAATTATTTGAAAATTGACCACAAATTTTCATTTAAAATTTAAACAAGACAAATTATAATTACGTCTTCAAATAAGCAAACTTGTTTAGCCGAAACAACTTGAAAGCAATAAATATTAATATATAATGTATTCAAATTTTTACATTTTAAGGTTTGTTGTTACAATTACTTACTTGTATTAACGAACCATCCAATTGAAAAATATTTCCGTTACATGTACATGGGTATGTTAAAATATACTAGGAAGGAACATTAATGTTATTCATGTAGGGCTGATTACTATTAAAAAAAAGATAACATCACTTTTAATACCGATTGTTGCATATTGATAAAACTTGATTTTTTATGAGTAAAATATATCATTTTAAAAAACATTATTATGTGAACGCGCACCATTATAGATACATCCTCTCATTTCCAAATATTAAATTTTTGGTCACAAATATATATAGTATATATAGAGATTTTTATATACAAAACATAGGTAGATATGTTCACGTGCAAACAAAATTTCAGTACCAAAAGTTGCGAGTTCACTATTAACATCAATATTATATCTGGTTACAACTACCGAACATGGTTATTTTATCCGTAATATACTTTTTATATGCTGAATAAAACTTTATTAATGGAGTTAACAAAATTTACATTTCTACTGATGACACATTTGACTAAGCGTAGTTTGGTACAAATTCACATACTTACATATAGCAATCTATATACATTCTACATTCAAGTACCTAGCACAGTGTTGCTGTATTTTCTTATGAAAATTTACTTTGACAAAGTAAACTATGAGACCAACTCACACTACCACACATTGACATAACTAAGCCTTTACATAAAAGGGCACGTTCACAAATTTATCAAGGCTAAAAATAATTGGAGTTGGAATTTCAGCAGATTCACAATTATCCGATTTTACTCCAATCATGTGAGTGCGCACCACCTGTTCGTTTTATCAAATGATGAACGTGTCTGCTTCACTTATTTGTTTTCAAACAAAATATATACTATAGTCAAAAAATAATTATACCTGTATGGCATAAAGGCACACTAAAAACTTCTGATGCTCATATACATACATACACTTAAGAACATTCACAAAGGTGTTTCGCCTTGTTCAATTAGATGCACCAAATGCATGTTAATATGTACACAAACAAAAAAAATCATGTTTAAATTTCATGTACCACTTCCTTCATCACAAAAGAAAACCATTTCATTTTTATAATTTTACTAATATTAATGCAAAACCAAATATACCATGCTGTACCACGACTATAGGCCAAAAAATTTGGGTGTTCCCATTTGCGAAGACATAATTTAACAAGTTATCTTATAAATTAACCAAAAACTTCAACAATCGAAACTGTCTCGTAGTCTCGAAAATGAGGGAACCTTTTTCATATAAATCTAATTAATAAGAGATAAAGGCGTATAGTTTCGTTAGAATTGTTTTCTCGAAATACCAAAACACTTTTCACCATTACCGACAAATGCGAAATGAACAAAACTGGTTAAATATTTGCAAAGCGATCCACATTCTACCACATACACAAAATTTCTGCTCCAAGAGCCTTGCCACTTGATTTTATTATATATATGTATAGTTATGTACACAGCTAGGAAGTACGAAAACATTTTGTACATAATTTTTTCCTTTGAGTGCAAAAGCAAAGAAACTCAAAAATTCTATGTAAATTACCATGATTCAATTATATGAGCTTGTATTAGAACGTAGCGTGCTTCCTCCTACGAAAGATGTGTTGGCAGCCATAATGTCAAAAAAACTGTTTTTGAATGAATGAATTTTTTGTTTACAATTGAATAATTTTCTGTAATTTACAATCTATTCGTATTCAGTTGTCACTCAAAAACGGATTTTCATTGATTGAAATCTTTGAAAATTAATTTTTGAATCATAAAATCAAAACAATACAAAGAAATACCGCTGATTTTGACATTCATCCAATTACTTCTGACAAATTGTTGTTTTTGGGCTATCGATACAACCTTATATAATTAATCGTGGTAAATTACCGTGAGTAAAAATAATATATGTGTGGTATTAAGGTATCAGGTGGAAAAGTTCTTATTTATCTTCCAAATAACAGGTGGCTCACAGCTAAATAGGTGGCTCATAGCTGTGTTAAGAGAATAAAATTCACAAAAAACGAGAATAAGTTTTGTGTTGTCATTGCAATTTCAATAGATATAATTGGTATTTTGACGAAAATTTGGCAGTCCTACCTAAGCTTAAATATCGATACTTGATCAGATAAAAAGCGCATGCGCGAGATATCACAAATTGAAACCAGCTGTTATTGACATTCTAGTGAAACCTATTAGTGAAAATCTAACAAATATTAAAATAAAGATTTTATTTAGAAATATGTAAATTTTATGGCATATTAAGAAATACTAAATTTGTATGAACATTTATATAACAAAATGGAAAATTACCGAGATGAAAGTGATCAAGTAGTTAAAGTAAGATATTGAATGTCATGTGTTATTGAGTATCTAACAAAATATTGTTTTGCAGTTAAAAGAAGGTATACATAAAAAGTTTGCGGACTTGCGAGCGGCACTTCAAATGAGGGAAAAGTTGTTATTTAGGCAATTGGAAGTAGTGGCATCAACAAAGCAGCATTTAACGGAATGTGGGGCAGAAAACAATATTCTATTTAAATCCAGAACAAATGAAGGTGATGACATAAAGATAATATTTGAAGATGAAGCTGACCTACTTCGTTCGATTCGATCCTTCGGCCGGTTTCAACTAGGGTCCATGGTTTTAGCTCTTAAACAAGAGGATTATATAACTCCCAACTGTGACCATGAAATAATGTACAAAAATATTCAATCTGATGAAAATCAAAGCAACTTATTACCTCAAAAAAAACAATTTTCCGAAGTTTCCGATTCTGTTTCCGTTGATTTTTCTAAAGATAAAACTTTGATTGAACATAATGTAAAATATATAAATGATTCCATAGTTAATATAACACTTGAGGAAGCTAAAGAACTTATAAGAAGAACTCAAGTGATAAATCAAACGGCAATACATCAACTAAATTTGGAAGAGTTGGATGATGAGCTGGAATCTCCTCTTTTTGAAGCCGTATCTAATTTGAGCTGCGATTCTTATAATAAGAAAAGTGAAAATGGTAACATGCCAAATCTATCGGCCATATCTTCTGTTAAAAGAACAAAAGCTGTTCGAAATAAACCTAGAGTTACCATTAACAATTGCAACGGAATTATCAACCTTCGTAATATTTCTAGCGTAACAATAAATTGTAATAATGAGAAATGTGACCATCTTGACGACGTGAAAGTTTATAAGAACATGGCAGATATATCGGAAATTTCTACGCCCGGTTCATTGGATTCGTCCTCCAATCAATCCAGTAATTCAAGCTCTAGATCCCAATCGAAAAAAGCCAAAAAAGACGCAATTAATACAGAGAATCACATTGAAGCAAAGAAACAATCTAGTCTACATTTACATAACGTATCAGTGGTTCCCATAAATAATTACTCTACAATATCTTTCGAAGATAATGATAGTGGTAATACTGCAGCAACCGCCAAAGGTGATGAAATAACTTGCGACTTTTACAGTCGCTTGTTTAATGAAATCAAACGTAACATGGATGAAAAAAGACCACCGGTTGATATGGGGATACTCAGAAAAACAGTATCATTACATCCACAAAGAGGATCAACCGAACAAAACAATCCAAATCCAGTTTTTTTGGAAGAAACTTTACAAACAGAACCGCAATTAGTTTTAAAAAATTTTGAAAATCTTAACATTTTTTTAAAAAATGACAGACACAATGAACCAATCAGTTCAGTTCATATAGAACATTGGTTATCAGAGATTATTAAAGATACAGATTTAGAGCCAATGCAAAACAATGAAATATTAGAACATAGCAAATTGAAATAGTAATCATAAAAAATTTCCCGGTTTGTTAACGTTAAGTTCAGTATTATGAAAATTCCACATTATTTTAATGCCCATCACACCTATTAATGTTTGTATTTCTTATATAAAAAAATTTCTTCATAACTCAAAGTCGTAGATTAATAATAAAACCCTCACGTACATTTTTACATAAATAAATAAAATGAACTCATTTTATAATGAATTTGAATAGGTTCTATTGTTCTGTATTTTATAAACGTTTTTATGCAATCAATTATGTCAATCAAATTGAGTTAAGCAAATTAGACATTAACATATGGAAGTGATGTGTACAATAAATAGAGAAAATAGGTGTAAGCTATAACAATTGACTATTTTGTCCCAAAAAATATTGAAATTGTTTAATCAAAACTTCTTTTGAATATTCTTCCATAGAATTTATTGATTAAAAATATTAAATGGTTACTTCTGTAAAATAATAATACAAGGAAATATTTCGAGACATTTCGTTTAGCTGTTTTAATTTAATCCGAAATCTTCAGATAATGTAGAATCCTTATTATAACCAAAAAAAATAAAATATAACCATCTCAAAATTACTATAAGGTTTTGGAGAAATGCTTGAACTTGAAATTAAAATTACGATTACTAATTTTTTACTATGTGCACTGTGTTGTGTACTTGTAAGCTATAAAGAATTGACTTTAAATCTGCCATTATTTACCTTTTTAACATTAAATTCATTTATCACGCACGGCATTAACAAAAAAAAGGCATTGGTTTGTTTATCAGTAGTTTTACGGTTTTTGTTTTTAACTTTCGACAATCAACATAATAAAATGATCATACATAGATATTTTGGTATTAATAAATGTACATACACATTTAAAAGTAAACTTAATTCTATGCTATTTGAGTTCTGACAATATATCTAACAAGGTAGGAGTAAAGTACGTTATAATGCAATCAGCTCCTGCTCGACGAAATCCTTTCATCGTCTCCATTAGAGCATCTTTTAAATCAAACGCACCATTCTCAGCAGCGAAATGTAGCATAGAATATTCACCACTGACCTGATATACATACAACGGATGACTTGGATAAGTGTCTTTTGTTTGACGCAATATATCAAGATATGGCATGCCTGGTTTAACCATCAACATATCTGCTCCTTCCATAACATCCCTATGAACTGCCCTAATAGCCAGACCCTTGGAGCCACTAGGAAGTTGATAGCAACGACGATCACCGAACGCTGGCGCAGACTTTGCTGCATCGCGAAAAGGACCGTAGAAATTCGAGGCAAATTTCGCAGAATATGACAATAAAGATACTCTATTTTCCAAGTTTGCTGCTATCAAGGCTTCTTTAATTGCACGAATACGATTATCCATCATATCCGAAGGGGCTACAATATGTGCTCCCGCAAATCCATAGGAAACAGCAACCTCTGCCAAACGGTCAATGCTCTGTGCGTTCAAAAGTCCATTTTCACCAAGTATACCACAATGTCCGTGTTTCATGTACGGACATAGACATACGTCACAAGCTATTAAAAGATTTGGAAACCAGTTTCTCAACAGAGGTAATGCTCGTATTACCGGATTTACATCGGAGTCTGCATTACTAGCTCGATCATCTTTCAACGAAGAATCTACAACACCAAAAAGAAGTACTGAAGAGAGTCCTCTGGGTATTAGCGGTTCGATAAACTTCCGTAATTGATTAACGCCCATTCGTGATTGACCTGGCATACTTTTAATAGGTTCGATTGCATCGTCATCGCTTATCAAAAATATCGGGTACATTAAATTGTGTGGAGTTATTTCACACCCTGATTCTTGCAGCATTCGCAAGGTTGGATGATGAATTCCACTGTGCAATTTTCTTTCCATAATGTATTATTTTAGTATCCGCTGTGAATATAGAAATAACTTCGTTTTAACATTTTTAGCCATAACTAAATGCTTTATTGATTACCTAAGTACTTCGTTTGTTTGTGTTGCGTACACAGTGTACCATGCTACAACGAGTTTGCCTTTGAATGGGCGAATGCGTGACTTGCGACATAAATGACTTGCGAACCGAAAACCCATATCATAGCCGGTATCACTCAAAATCGCCTAACATTTGCTTGAATAATTTCATCACATAGCTATGTATGTAGAGTTTACATTGTCTTCATACTTTTGCTTTGCTTTGCGTCAGACATTAGTTTTGACAGAAAAGTTCGATGTGAAGTTTTGTAAGAGTACGTTCACATCGCAGCGAAACGCGACAACATGTTGGGCAACTCTCCTCTTTTTACACTTTGCCAAGCAACAGTGTCCATTTTTATTATCGATTAGCACGGAAAACAAAGCGTTCATTCTGGCATACCCGTTGCTTTCTTCGCTTCGTTGTTTAGCTATGATTTGTCAAGCAGAGTGTGGAAAGTTGTATGTGAATGAGTCATTAGACTCGATAAGCTTAACAGCGGCAAAATTGCCACTACTGGCAATAATTGTAAATTTTGTAATTTAACATGTCTGTTTTCAAATTTAAAAACATTTTATTGCGTTAATGTACGAAATATATATACGGTATTGCTTGTTTCTGATATTTTTTTCACATTTTCACAAATTCACAACAAATATTTTCACAGAACATTTATTTATTACCTTATTAAAATTGAACATATACTTCATCACTTAAAACTCACATACAGAAGCACAGTGGCCAAAAATAAAGTGAGGCTCTTGTCATGTTGGGTTCAGACCTTTGTAATTTAAGATCGACTCAACCATTTTTCAAAAGAGATTATACAGAAATAAAATTGTGAATAATTTTACAGTACACAAGCTTATTGTAAAGCAACCAAAAAAAAAAACTTTTCCCTGCACTACTTTTCTTTTAAAATACTTGGTTTATTTATGATTTTTAATTAAATTAAATACTATGGACTTAGATTTTATCTCGGAATTGTATTTAACCATGACTATTTTCAAATCACATGAAGATTGCTTACTCATCTTAAAGGGCAAAATTGTGGAACGTAATTGAAAAGGTGGGAAATAAAACTTAACTCGGTAAATTCGTTATTAATATAGTAACGGTATATCCACAGCCTATTTAAATCACGGTATCCCATATAAACGAAGAGAGAATTGTGAACTTGTCCCCGCAACTATTTTTCTTTGTTTAAGCAGAATATTCTTTATATAATACGACTATTACAGTTTTCAACTCCACTCGTTTGAATTGAAGTTGAAGCAATTAAACCATTGTATACATCTTATGCAATGAATTAAACTTTAGATCAACCCAACTCTGTTTTGGTATTACGATTTTAAACTATTTTCAGTCGAAGTATGATTGGTGTTGCCAACATTAAAAATCAAGATTTGGCAGATAATTAAACAGCTAAAAAGTTGTAAACGAAAGTTCAAAACAATTTAATTTAGTTTTTACTCACAAAAAGGTAAATAGTTATTAAAATGGACATTAGTTTTGATTTATATTACGACGAAAATCCAAATCCACACGAACTTAGTAACACCATGTAAGCCAAAGTTTTATTGAAAATTACCATAAATGGCTTTTAAATAATGTTTGTAGCAGATTCATAAGTTATTTTCGTCGTAAATGAGATGAGGAACATTACCACAAACTCTCCATTTCCTTGCTGCCGGTAGCTGTGAAGAATGCATATTAATTTTGGGCTGAATCAACCTTTTTATTTGATTGAATAAGATTATTGTTTATATCTTTTGTTTTATTAATTGCTTCGTTAGTAATTTATTACAGAGTATATGAGAGGAGATACAAATATTAATCCTTTTATTGTATTAGTTTTTACAAAACATAATTCAAAATTGTATCGACTCTTTATGTTCCAAACACTTTCCACGGTCCCTTAATTTTATTTTAATGTTTCCAAATTGTAGCTTGTCTCGTCCAGTTTTGGAAGTTTACTCCACGAACTCAACAAACTTCACCTTTCTATGGATTTGTACAAAGTAACTGATCAAAATTGTTTGAAATAAAAAATAAAATAGTTCTTTTTACCCATTTTCCATTTTTATTACTATTTATCCTAAATAAAGTCATTAATGTTTAACTACAACTGCTTGTTAGCAGTTGAAATTTTTTGATACTCTAGTCAACCCCACTGGCACAGAGTTGAAAACCGTAATACCAACAAAAGTTGAAGTTTGACAACACTTCAACCCAAAATTTTTTTTACGGTTTGATTTGAAAACTATAATACATACATAAAAATAATTTATTAAAAGCTGCCGATCATCCATTCAGACTTACAATAGATATAATACAGGATTCATTCTTACAATAGATATTTTAAAATAGACATATAATACAGGATTCATTCTTACAATAGATATTTTAAAATAGACTCCAAATGTTTAAAAGTGAACATTTTCACCTTTCCTCTCATGTTCCGTACAAGTTTCTCTTATAAACCTTCGAATATGGTCCGTAATCATTCTTTCAGTACACTGGCCTTAGTAACGTCTCTCAAATTCCATTATATCTTGATGGAAGCGTTCTCCTTGTTTTTCCGATTAAGCTCACATATTATCTTTAAATTTATCTAAATGAGAATGGAACATATGCATCTTTAGAGGCATTTTACATCCGATGATGGAGAAATTCGTCATCATGTCAGTGATCAGGTCGTCATAATTGTCAGCCGTATGGTTTCCAAAGAAACCATGCGTTATCCATAATTTTTTTTATTTGCGGCCTACAAAGATTCCCCCTTTTTTTGTCTCTGAAAGCTTTGGAAAATTTTTTTGAATACTTGAAAGATGATCCCCTGGTTCCCTCCAAGTTCTCGGCACTGCAAACTTCATTGCTATTTTTTCACATCGGTACCAGCCTACAATAAAAATTACCTAATTAAATGTTATAAAAACAGTTAATAATTATTAAAAAAAAAGAGGAAATAAACTTACCATCCAGAATATATTTTTACAGCAACAATACTTTTTTCTTCTCATTTTAATAAATTTGCCGAAAATATAGCAAAACGAGGCAGCGTCTCGTTTATTACTTCTCAAAGACATTTTGTACTGGTTGTTAGAGAATACAAAGTTATGAAACACGTTACTCCTCTGTAATGTGCAAACACATACTGTCGTACGCTACGAGGGATGCGAGCGACACTATCTCCCGGCTCTTCCCTCTGTTTTGACGGTAACAGCACGGAAAGACCGATTCTTATATGAGTGCGAAAATCAAAAATGGTAAAATCGCTATAATTGCTTAATAAGCATATATTTTCGATTTGTAATCATCCTTTTCCATATATAATTGCTTAATAAGCATATATTTTCGATTTGTAATCATCCTTTTCCATATATATTTGCTTATATAACAAGAATCTAATAAGTAAAACCCAGTGAAAAAATTTTTTTTGTTGACCTGTGTAATCATAAACAATAAAAAATACATATTTACAATTTAATTATACATGGGATACTAAAAAAAAAAACAGCCAATTCATACCATACGATTATTAATATTTTTTCTGCATACGACTTTTACTTTTATTTGTATTTGAACTAAAATATAGATGTTAAGTACTCAACAGTTTGAAGTTTTAGTACATTTCCTGTATATCTAGATAAGTAACATGATTTATCATCCTAGCTTTGTGGTTGAATTACAATTAGGCTTAAAGTATAATAGTAATTTAATTACTCAACGATTTTCATAAATCACTTTGGTGATTTAACCTTAAACAGAATCTTATTTAAATTAGTAGTCCACATTTGGTATTATTTGTAACTATTGCAAAACACTATTTTATTAAACTAGGAAACACATAAATGGTATATTGGGTTTCATAGCCACGAACATCTCTCGATCAGAATTGATCTAAATAAACTTTCAATTTGCCATGAAATATTACGGGTCTCTAAAATGGTCTCGCTGAGGAAATTTACCATACAATTTCGTAAGGTAATTTGGTAAGATAGCCGTTGCATTTGATAACATAATGTATTATGAGAATTGTGACAGATTGCAGTCGGTCAAGCCAGGCATACCTGATAAAATAGCCATTCTTCCATAAAAGAAGGAACAAATGCCTTGGAAGTAGTAAATTTTACTTTTGGTCTAAGCAAACGTAATTGGTCTTCAAATAACTCCAAGGATTCCGTACAAGCTGTGCCATTGCCATGTGTTAAATATTTTCCATCTGGCTTTAATATTTTAAAAGAGTGGTCGAGGATTGTTCTTATAAAATCCCAAATTTCTCCAACAGGTGCCCCAGATATTGGAATATCAGTAAGATCACCAAAAACATAATCAAATTTTCGATTTTCGGATATGAATTTCTTCATGTACTCCACACAATCACCAACAACAATTTCATAGTTATCACCTTTGCGCTTTTCAAGTACGTCACCACAAATCGTATTTAAATATTTATTACATGCTTGCATAACCAATTCATCAATTTCAAGCATCACGACGAACTTTGGTTTCTCCTTAAGTAACTCATAAAGTAATGCACCATCGCCACCTCCTAGTATACAAATCTCTTTTCCTTCATAATTTTCGATTCCACGGCCCATAAGAGTTTCGGTGTAGATTAAGTCTGATTCCGCAATATCTAAATTAGGTAATAATTAAATAGGTTTGAATATAAAACATGGTCAGAGTTATTTTATTTACAAATAAAATGTTATACATCTACTCACTTTGCAATTCATCCAGAATCAACATGTTTCCCAAAGTCTTTGAATGCAATATTTGGATTTTTTGAAAGGGTGAACGCTCCTCAAACACCAAAGCATCAATGTCATATTCGACGATTCTTTCGTCTAAAATTCAAAACAATATGTTAATGGGCCAAATAATTGCCTAATTTTATTATTTGTAGTATTTTCATTTACATAATAGACCGGGAGTAAAGAAAACAATTTCAAAAAATTATGAGACAAATATCGTATTACAAATATTGTATTCAAAATAATAATTTTTTTATCAGAGCTGAGCATTAAGTACAATATTACGATTAATTCAGACTTTTTGCTATTGCGATTACTCTAACTGTGATCCTGAAAGTCTTCAGTATTATTACTCTTGCAACATGTTGCTACATTAGTATAATAGTTTTGTTCACATAAAAGTAACCGAGATAGATATAGGGCTATATATGTAGATATAAATGATCAGGATGACGAGTGGCTGTCTATACGTCCGTACATCCGTGCAACCGATAACTTTAGTAAAAAACAAGATAAAACGTTAACCTGGGTTGCACCGAAACTTCATCCTTCCATTCAAGAACTTAATTCAATCGGTCAGTTTGTATGGCAGCTATATGCTATAGTGTTCCGATATCGGCGATTCCGACAAATGACCAGCTTCTTGGGGAGAGAAGTCTATGTGCAAAATTTCAATCAATATCTCAAAAACTGGGTAGTCCGCCACGTATGTAGGTATATACAGACAGACGGACATGGCTACATCGACTCAGCTCGTCACGCTCATCTTTTATATATTTTTTATGACTCTATAACTATATCAGAGGTGTTCTTCTATGAAACTTCGTGGCAAACATACCCTGTTAATTAAGATGTCTTCATGAAACTTGGTACACGTGTTTGTGACACCATAAGAAAGCCAGTATAGCAGATGGGCGAAATCGGATCATCGCCACGCCCACGAAATGCTGTTAATCGAAAACATATGAAGTGCTATAACTAAGCCTTTAAAAGTTGAATCCCAAAACGTTTAGCACAAACCACTAAAGCTATTTCAACCAAACTTGCTCAGGACAAGTCCCACCAGTACAACGGTTGTGTTGTAAACTACTAAAAGTGCGATAACTCACTAAATAAATAGATCAGAAGCAATCAACTTCACAGGCAAGGTGGTGCTGAAAGGCTACAAAGGAATCAGTTCAAAAATGTTTCAATTAAAATCAATACATACACACGTTGCCACTGATTAAACATCTGGTAGCCTTCTCTGATGATTAACGTATGATTTACCCGATAACTGAACTGAGGGGTTAAAATCACTCATATACACGCTTCTTTGCTAATCCTTAAATACAAAATATCATATTCACAAAATTCGTTGACTGTGCTATAAAAGTATCAACATTTTTTAGAAAAAAAAATAAATTAGCGGAATAATAATAAATCTTTGAAGGAATTCTTGTAATTCCAGTTGTTTGTGTTTCCACCCAATTTTGTGAAGATAATTCCCGAACTGACCGAAATTTTGGATGAAAAGTCTGCTAGTATATAAAAAAATCATTATATATATAGTAAAGGTGGGCGGTGCCACCCCTATTGTCCGATTTTGACATTAAATACTTCTGACGTATTTGTTTAGAGTTATCGCTCTTTTGGTATTGTTTACAACATAACCGTTATATGGAGAGTGGGTGGGCTTGTCATCCGATCCAATTTCACAATATCGGATGAGGTGGCAAAAAGATTTGTCCTGAACAAATTCGGTTGATATAGCTCGTGTGATTTGTAAGATATGTACATAAAACCTGTTAAAAGGCGTCCCATGTCCACGTTTTAAAAATATTCAAACCACAGATGCCTCCTCTCTTAATGTGATTCGTTGTACCAAATTATAGTTATGTATCTTAATGTGGAGCTTAGCTAAATTTTACCAAGATATCTTTATTTTTACTCAAGTTATCACTTGCACAGACGTACGGACAAATAGCACCTGGATTTCAACACGTTTCGTCATCCTGATCATTTATATGGTACAATGCATACAGAGAGGACAAATTCGCAGAAAAAATGTCATTATTATACTCTTGCAACATGTTGCTATAGATAATAGTTCACCTAACGGTTGTTTGTATCACATAAAAATAAATCAGGATGAGCAAAGTGTCATAACTAAGCACTAAATAAAGACTTAAAACTGTAATTTGGCACAGGGAATTGCATTAGCAAGAGGCACCTGTGGGCTAAAAATTAAAAACGAAAAAATGGGCTTGGCCTCGCCTTCTTAAAGGTTTAATGTACACCACCTAAGATACAATAACCAAATACTAAGGTGGTCGCAGAGGCGAGTATGTTATTGAACTCATTAATGTATTCATCAACATCGTTTTCACTGTTCACTGGCTGATGTAAAAAACAAAAATTGCTAAATATGTGAAAGAAGGTGAAAACCTTCACTTTAATAAAAAGTGAGTTTTGACGAAATTTTTATATGACAGGGTGTGCGTCTGGTTGTTCACCTAATAAAGTGCTAAATTTAAAAAACGGTGATTTAGCGAAATTTCTAGGGTCCAATTCACATGGTTTGACTCACCATTGATATGGTAGATCATAACTTATTGATAAATAAACTGGCCAGTTACGGCGTCTCAGGAGAAGCTTCGAATTATAAGTTAGGGTACCTGTTTGAGTATGAGTAATAGTCGGAATAACTCTATTCTATGCTGATGATATGAAGAACTTTGGAGAGATTAAGTGAGATAAAGATATCTACCTACTTCAACAAGAAAGACTCCCTCTAGATATCGTGAATTACGTCGTGCCAATTATTACATCGGAGACTACCGTCTACCACGACACTAAAGTAGATTTATGAACATTCAAAACATTGGTAATTGGTTCGGTTGTACTACGCGCTAGTAAGGTCGATCCTTGAACACTACTCCACAATTTGATCGCCTTGCTCATACTTGCTTATAAACAAGATCGAGAAAACACAACACAAGCTATGCAAAAACATTTCTCATCGTGCAAGAGCGTTCAACCTCAATGAAGTTTGCAGACTATGTTGGTCATTACTTGAACTGTTTATCTTTTTTAAAATAATTAATGGTCCCATCAACTATTCTAGAACAATTTGAATTTGGTTCTATCAACTCAAGACCGGGTTTGAGCGGAGATTACTCGATACTATCAAGAAGCATGATTTCTAGTCAAGTTAATAATTATCAGGGAACGTACATAATGATTATTGTTGCGATTTTTAAATGAAAAAATCGATCACTTAAAATTGACATACAAAAAACAGATAACACCATGTTAATCTTTTTTCGACGATTTCGGTGATGGTTTTTAATTTCGGATTTTTATAATTTTCTTCACCGACACGTATTAGTTTTGATTAATTTTATAAAAACTCATATATAATCACAAATAATGATTATTTTTTTTGATCAAAATAAAACTAATTTTTATATCACAGGTTTCTTATGAAGGTTTTTACTAACTTCGTTGCATGCCCTTTTAGAACAAAAGTATATCATCCTTTTCTCTTTTGTGATGGGGTTTGGTGGCTTATTACATGAATGATGCTCCAATTGGGGCAATTTTTGGTACCCGTACGGAATCACCGGAATTCTAGGGAAGCCTGTTTTGCGCGATTTATAGAAGCATGGACAACATGGCGCTACGAAGCGCGTTAACCACTGACGACGAGTGTTGCACCTAACTGCGGTAAAATTTGAACGGAACCTTTTTTGCAGACACAGAAGATCAAGATGTTGAACTCAACGCCAGAACGGATCGGATTGATATCGAGTAATCTTAACCCAACCCCAAAGACATAACAAAATATAGATAATAACGGTCGACACTTATTACTCCTTATTTGAAGTAGACTAACAATTGGTAAGACGAGCAATAATGGCATTACTCAATTATTGTACTTTTTTGAGTAATATCGTTTTGTGGCATGACAACAAACAGGTTTTCAAATTACCCTTAAGTTAACAAAACTATAAAGGTCTGTGCAATACATGGTGAGAGTATAAAAATATTTTTATACAATAAATAGTATGACCCCAACAACACTGGAGTCAATGTATTGAAAAAAATATTAAGTACTCAACATACACACAATAATATTATTTTTTTTTTATTTCGTTGGCATATGTAATCGTATGTACTGTAGAGGATATATTTATTAACAATTCGTCACCGTGGTAAAGGTCACCGATAAAGGCTGTAAACTCCACGTTTTTTGTAGGGTCAGTATTTAGAGTATACTCTTTAGAATAATATTTTCATTACCATGTTATTATTTTAAGTTTAATAATGTGTAATACTTGTAAGAGATGTTTTCACTCTGCTATAAAATTTTGCTGAAATGAGTAGGCAGCTGCTCCCGCGAAGTGGTAATTTTTTAAATTGTGGAAATATTATACATATGTAAGTATGTGATTCATTTTGTGGATATAAATATATTACAACATTTACCATTTATAGTTTTGAGCAGAAGAGAACATTTTCACACTAGCCGAATATATTTTTTGCAGAACTTTTTACTTCAGCAGCAACACATCACACATCATTATTTTATTAGGTTCAATGAATGTAATTGATGAAAGCCGTCGACGACTTTTGACCGCTTTCAACAATACAGCCATTGATTGTGCTTGTGTCGATCTCTTTGTCGTGCCGATGCTGCGCCGGCTAATGTGAATGGGTCAAAATACATTTACATAATTGATTAAGATTACATATAAACACGTAAATTACTTTACGTGCTTTATTCATCCGAAATATTACATTACAAACATTACATTACATACGTCGTATAAACAAAGTTATAAATCAGAAAATTTTAATGAAAACATTACCTGATGATGGAAAATACCTAGCGACATCTCCACGTTTCAAAGTGGGCAATACTTGGCCAGAATGAACTTTCAATTTCTTGGCTAGGATATTTTCAAGGCGTTTGGATGACTGTTAAATTTTGCGTTCGGATAGTATCGAAGAGGAAGAAGTTGTGGTGGTGGTGGTGGTGGTGATGATGGTAATTGTGGTTGATGGTGGGTGGCGTTTTTATGAGTTGATGTCGAAAGAGATTCATATATGAAAATAAAAGAAAATAGTTTTGCTTTAAATAAAATTATAAATTGTTATTCAATTATAACTAATGATCGATGAATATAATGATAGATACGTATAAGGTTCTATAAATCATTCATATGTATGTATGTATGCATCTGCATACTACTCCGATAACAGTCAGTTCGACCGATTGAACACTTTTTAATAATTACCCTTAAATCTAATATTTTATTTTGATATAAAGGTAATTTTTTCTTATAACTTGGATTTCTATTTTACTGTAAATATCGATATCTTAATAGCCTCTTTCAATATAAATTTAAAACTTAAAATTACTCTGTCTGCAATCAAGTCTAGCTGTTCCTACTTTTTGGTCATAAATAATTTACATCTGATCGCTAATAAAATATATAAGTATTATCTCTAAAATTTTGCAATGAAGGAATAATATGCCATCATTGTTAGTTCAAAACTTCTGGGATTTTGCTTTTAAGTTGACGAGATAAGTACCATATTGGGCTACCAAATAATCAAATCTACTATTTTTTCGTCAGCTGAAAGTGGGCGAAAATACAAAAATGTCCTACATTAAAAATGCAAAATACCCATCATTCATTCGCTGTTTGATTTAAGCTCGTCTGTATACATAAATTTAAAAACTCTGATTGTTGACATTTTAAAGCGACTTTTCATTCGGTAAACACAGTCATTTTGTGCCATTATTTCCAAAGGGCAATAAAAACAATTATTTAAGCTCGTCCAACCCTAAGAAAAAAATTTTAAGTGAATATACAAAGTAGAATGACTACATGATTTGTGTACGGAAATTTTAATTTGATAATTAATAATGACGAATTATTTCTTTCTTAATGAAATTTTCTTTTGATGATAACAATCAGATCTACAGTAGATTAATACATTTGTGCTTTTATGTTTAATCTTAAGCTGACCTGAACTAGTCATGTATATGTCAATGTATCCACCACGTTTTATCGGCGGTAAATACTTGGAACGATCGGAATGCAATTTTTGACGTAAAACTAGTTCCATTGTGCGCAATGTCTGCAATTGTAAAGTTTACACAATACAATATATAAATATATTATACATATTAGATAAACATATAAGTATGACAAAAATATCTGTAAAATAATAAAAAATCAACAATAATTCGAGTTAACGGTGTTTTTGGTAAGTAACTTTCAGTACATTTTTCGATATGTCAAAACAAGAAATGAAAATATGTTGCATGTGTTTACAAACCGATAAGCACATTTACAAAGGTCGAAATTTATCTACTTGCAACCACATTATAACAGCCACAAAAATCTAAAAATGTATGTATATAAAAATTACGTGTCACGTTTTATCCGAGGTTATCTCTTAAACTGCTAAACCGTTTCAGTAAAATTTAGTACATTGTGTCCAGGTTGATCCAGCATAAATGGTAGGATAGTTTAAATTTCCAATTTAAAAAATGAAAAACCATTCATAAAAATATTGTAATATATTTCTTAGCATGAGCATGTTTTCAAAATTCTAAAAATAAATAAAAAAAATTTCCAGTAAAATGCCAATTTCCTAATTTTTTCCATTGACAAATATTTGTATAAATCATTTTCGATATCAAACCTTAAGTACAATTCCTTGAATTCCTATACCGGCAATTACGTTTTCGCCTTTATTCGTAAATAATATATTCACTACATTTTATAGTATACATATGTAAAAGAATTTAAGGTATATCATTGCCACAACATCGCATAGCCGAATATGCTATCTATAATATAACAAGTAAGGAAGGGCTAAGTTCGGATGTAACCAAAAATTTTATACTCTCGCAAAGTCAAATGGTATACTCGTTTTAGATTTCTTCGATATTGCCGCCTTGTTCTATGTTGACCGCTATTTTCGGTAAAAACTCCTACCTAGGGGCTTGAACAGTTTTGATTCGATTTAGACAATTTTTCGGTCACAAGGTGGCATACTTTAAACGTATTATTCACGCAAAGTTTTACGCCGATATAATCATTGTTGTAAACCTATTAGGGGCGGAACCACGCCCACTTTTAAAAAAAATTTTAACCGCAGATGCCCCTCCTTAATACGATCCTGTGTGCCAAATAACAGTCTTGTATCTTATTGTGGAGCTTAGTTATGACAATTTATTTGTTTTTGATTAATGGCGTTTTGTGGGGTCTTACGGTACCAAGAAACATGTGTACCAAGTGTCATAAAGATATCTCAATTTTTACTCAAGTTACAGCTTGCACGGACGGGCGGACGGACGGACAGACAGTCACCCGGATTTTAACTCGTCTCTTCATCCTGATCATCTATATCTAACTAATATCTAGTTTTATGTGATACAAACAACCGTTAGGTGAACAAAACTATTATATTCTGTAGCAACATGTTGCGAGAGTATAAAAAATAATCACTGAATGTGTTGCTAAGCGCAAATCTCGGAAATAGGTAAGCCGATCTCGCTAATTCCTTTTTTAGAATATTGCTTGAAGTACGAGGATGGTTCTTACGTAGAGAAAAATTTAAAAAATTGTGTGAGAGAGCCTAAAAACAACACTTTTCTATAATTCCATACAAACGATTCGTAATCATATCTGGTATATGTATGTATATAAAAGAGTCGTGTTGTGTTAGTTACAATATTTATAACTCAAGAACGGTTTAACCGATTTGATTGAATTATATTTGAAATCATAATCATGGATTCAAAATTCATGTTAAAATCATACAAATATTTTATTACTTAAAAAAAAATAATAATAACAATAACAACACATAGCTACTGCAAGAGTACAGTAATTTTGTACACATATGTATATGGATTATACTGGTTGTTGCAACTGAACATGGCGGTTTTTTTAGGACGTACCATGTGAAACCGGTAAGACAGAAATTCGCATGGATATTGCATCGCCAAGGCAAAGCGTCAACTTTACGCACATGTATGGCTCACAAATATTCTCGAAGCATTGTACAGAACAATGCAAGATTTTAAAGGCAACGATGAAGTTTTCGGTGGTGCTGACTTACCACTGTCTGGTATTATCGACAGCCCGGTCAGTCTTCACTTATCTTAACGCAATGAGATTAACGAATGTTTAAGTAATCGTTCTTATGGTGAAACGTTGAAATACAAATATATACGAACAATTGCGAGCAATTTCAAACTGATCCATTATCAGAAATAATACAATTTCTAGATATTGGGAATGGTGGAATAGAACTTCAACCAAATACGCTGTACATTACGAAAAAAAATTTATTAAGATTATATTCCAAAAATATAATATAATATAAAATAAAAAATAATTCTTTGGATTATAAATAGCTCAGTAATCGGGCTACATTAGCGGCCAAAAGTGTAGAAGTTGATGAAATTAGTTTCCAGTTACAACAGTTGGTGCCAGGCTATCAGATTTATTTTAAATTATTCGCTACTGTTTTGAAATGAAAATGGAAACGTAAATTATCTAGAAATACTCGGAATGACATTACATAATCTTCGGGTGAAAATTGTTCAACTATTAGAGTAATTTAAATTCACCTCAATTATGCAACGGTACACGTTTGGTTGGTAATCAAAAAGATTACAGGAAATACTATGGTAGCAACCATTTTGACTGGAAAATTTAATGGAGAAATGGTCCTCTTGCCACGTTTTCCAATGATACTGTCAGAATGTATGATACGAATAGAGCTGAATTAAATTGGATTTGAAAATCTTAATAATCATCATTCATTATCTCAAATGTCATCAACTAACAACTTTGAAAATAATTTATTTGTTTTCAATTTGAATATAAAATAATAAATAAAAAAATCAACATAATATTTTTTATGTTTATTTGTGCTTAATAACAAAACAAAGAACATTGGTATTCATCATTTTTAAATTTGGAAGTAATTTAAAATTCGGAAATAACGTTTTCGTTTTTATTCATAAATACTATTTTACTATATTGAATAACTTATACCATAATAAATGTATACCTTAGCCAAAGCAACGCGTGGACGGGGTCCTCTAGTATATAAACGAATTTCTGTTCGCTATAATATCTAAAACTCGAGAATGGTTGAATCAATTCGGCTAATTTTTGTTTTTGTATATTTGTGGAAGTCTACGGAAAATTTAAAAAGTGAATAAATGAAAAACAATAAACTAGTTAACAATTTACTCTCTTTTCCGATATCCGACTGTAACTGTAACTGTAAAATGGCCTAATATCGGAGAACGACTGAACTAACTTCTCTTATGACAGTCCACAAAGCTATAAATGTACTAAATGATTTAACTGTTAAGATTGAGTATGTAGGAGAATCACAAAAATATGAATTAAGGGGTTAGGGGTAGTCAGAACTTTCAAAAAATCAATTTGTTTTTCATTTTTTGCATTTTCGTTAAGTGTAATATCTTGAAAATATTCCCTGAAAATTTCAAGTTGATCCGATAATTACTTTTTAAGTTATTCGACAAATAACAAAGACCGCTCAGACACTTCAAAGCGCTCAGGAGCAGGTAGCTAGAGGCAGCTGCAAGAAACTTTAAATGCGTTTTTCTCAAAACTATGTTTTTCGAACTGGTGACTACTGTAACTCGGAAACCGCTCAGTAGATTTTAATGAAATTTATACAGCTGTTGGGTCACCGATTGAGAACCAATGCATTATACGGTCATATGTTCTATATATTTTTGCTATTTCTTGCTCTCTACTTATTTGCCTAATATTCAAGGGCAAGCATTAGCAGTCAGTCACCTCAAAGCAGTTAATAATTGTATTTGCATTGTGTACATACTTACACATTTATTGCTTGCTTGCGCTTGCTTTGTACACTAGCGGTAGCATACGCTATGTTTTCGTCCACGCAATTATATGAATATTTGTTTGTGCACATTAGCTAGTCCCATTTAACATGTACTAAGCTTAATATGTAAGCAGCCTCTTGCAATGCTGCGTTCCCATTTTTTTATATTTCTCTTTTGTTAATAACTACATTATATACGAAGGAGCAATAGAGTAAAGTATGTACTTGGATTATTCTCTATTTATGAACTGTTTTTATATAACTTACATATTTGTGTATATATGCACTAATAGAAAACGAAACTATGTACTTAGCGGAAAGTATGTATTGAACGGTATTGCAATATTGCTTAGAATATTATTTAAGGAGAAGAATTTTGAAAAAAAAATTAGTCTAATAACTGACCACACATAGCATCATTACTCGGCATTTTGTATTTTATCGCTGTTACAACTTCGCTTAAATATTTCACTTTTTCGATATTCACGCGGCTACAAAAAAAGCTTTGTAGTCCTACAACAGCTTTTTCAAAAATTCGATTTTTTAAGACCGCGAAACCAGGAATATAGCATTTAAGCAAAAATGTATTGTTTTTATTAAAAGGGCATTAATGTAACGTAATGTAAAGCATTTTCTTATACTAATAAATATTAATAATAATAATAAATAATAATTTCGGATATACATCAAAACATAGTAATGATGGTTAGTGATCATATGACCTATAATAAGAGTGAATAAGATATCAAATATGATTGTAATCCAAGGATAGGGGTGCTAATATGCAGTATACGGGTCATGCTGGAAAAACTGCACCGATTTAGTTTCTAACAATTTTTTACTATGTCGAACGATTCGTGGGCGATCGTTGTACAAATCATAGTTTGAACGTGTCGTCTGTCTAAAATATTTCTGATTTTTGCTTTTACCATGAGTTTTAACACTTTTCCGGTTTTGCCAACATATTTGCATTTATTGTTTAAAATCCAACTTCTTTGATTTAAAGATACGATTTGAGATAAAGCGGAACCATTATATATTAGATTAATTGATTAAGTACGCTCATTGACATATAGTTTCTTTACAATAATATTAAAACTATGTACTTGTATGTATAGCTTATATTAAAATAAAACCTAGCTGAGAAATATAAATTACATAATGGCTAAAAGAAAGCCATTTGAAAAAAATATTTGCATATTAGGCATTGAATCCCGGGATTGCATCCTAAACACTCTAATTGCGGAAATTTTCAGATACACTCTACTTCTACACTCCACTCAGTGACTTTAAGTAGAGTTTTCTGTATCCGAACCCTTGTTCTAAAATATAAATGAGAAAAGAAAGATTCTCAACAGATAATACTTAAACAAAAACAATAAATTTGTATGTATATTTCCAAGTGCTATAATATAAAATTATCCTTTCAAATTTAATACGCATATACATATATAACCGTACATCATAGATGGCTACGGTCAAAATTTCAGCCTTGTATACTTGTTTTGCAGCCGAATTCTATTAAAATAAATATAGTTTAAATAAAAAACTAAAAAAAAAAACACGCTCTTAAAGTACATCAAAATGAAAAGTGAAAAATAATTATTAACATAAACAAATGGCAGTAATATTGACCGAAAAATACTTTTATTATTGTGTTAATGTGTGGTACGCTTGATATACGAGAAATATGTCACAAAGAACCCCACGCTTAGTACTAGCGTACTTTAGTACTTTCGTACTAGCATACACCACTGGCTTATCCACCGTATGAGGAGATTAAAGCCGCTACAAGGGCCTTCTTTACAAACCTCTAACCTTAATCATCCTTCTACATTAATGTCAACAAACACGTTCCTGCACTAATATTTAGTAGAAAATCTGTTATTCTGGATAACTGCTACACATCTTATTTTACATTTGTTGATAAAGCTTTCTAAACATCTTTATTTTAATTATAAAGTTATTCTTTATACTTTTCATGCGTCCTAAAAGTTTTGAAATTTAAAAAAATGTAAATTGAGATGAGGAAAGTAAAGCTTGATATTTTAAAATACCATATCTCTTTAATTTATGACAACATTACATTTTGTGAAATGTCGGTGTACATGTATCGGTCCGTTATTCCCGATCTTTGATACAGAAAAAAATTGACACCAATATGTTACCACCACCACCAGCATTTAGTAGTTGCAATAATACTTGGGAATGAGTCTACTATCTTTTCATATGAAAGAAATCGTTTATATTGTCCATCGAATCATCCGAAAATTAAATAATTTTCATTTTATAAACTGTTCAATCTACTTGAGCTTTGGTATATTCCCTACTCAGCTTGGTTCCTTCATCGGCCGTCGAGTGAACTCACGTGATTCAATTTGTCGTCTACCAACTGTTCACTCATTAACGACAAATATTAAATTTGTGTTCAGGTGAGAGGTTTTTTGCTATCTTCTTACAATAGATGCGTTTGTCACATTTCTAGTTTATTGATAATTGTCGATATTTTCTCATAAGCCAAAATCTGTTGCAGGAATATTTTGCTCTAACTTTAGGTCGAAGTAAACTAATATTAAATATTATAATACAGCCTACAATGGGATATTTGGATTATCTAAAATTATTGCAAAACTTCGTTTAAATACATATAGGTTACCAAAAATGGCGAGTGACTACTCAATTGCTTGTGATTGGTAGCCGATAACACAAAGAAAAATAAACATGTTACACTTATTGACTTATATATATGATATAACGCCAAACCATTCCATATTATATTATATGATTTTAATGAAATTGAACGGAAATAGTCTCTAAAGTATACTCTATTTAGTTTAATGCCATAAGCCGTCAGTTCTAATATAGAGATTTTCGACATTCCCGTTAACTTTAAATTTGTTACTTTAGCCGTAGAAAACATTCCCCAAATAATTTTGAGGAATTCTGCAGAGTCTAGAAATTACACCAGCCTCTTTATGGTACATGGACCAATTTTAACCATTTTAGATACACTCACTAACTACTAGTCACTAACTACTAGCTAAATCCAACGATTACTGGCGCCCCACACACCTGACGAATTTTCGCAAGAGAGTTTTTTAAACGTCGAGATCTTAAACTCTCAGCCACAGAAATAAAAATTACATGATACACAATTTAATATATTATATATAAAATAATTACATACAACTCATTATATTTTTTAATTGTACTTATTTTGAAAGTCTGCTAAAGTGGAATGGTCCTGATTTTGGGAGGGCTGGGATGTTTTCGTAGAAACCACTGCTGCAGTCGTCTGCTTGAAACATCAAGAGGTCCTTTCATGATTACGTCGACGACATTGGACAGTACCCCGACCAGACTTCGGACGCAACGAACTTTATACATGCACTGACCGCTGTTGTTGTTGTTGTTGTAGCGGCAGAATTCTGCCGAGTTGACAGTCCTTGACCGGATAAAATCTCGGTCCGTTCCGGTTACGTAGACCCGACTATCGTGGGAACGGCCGCCATTCACAGTGGAGCCATCAACACCTTCACCGACTACCTCTCAGTGAATGGCGGACTTGGAGTCAAACCACCACCCATCGCAGAGGTAGAGCTCGAGTTGCACGTGAATCTAGAGCGACCCTTGCGCAACTTCGTTCTGGATACTGTAGCAGGTTAAGCTCCTACTTATCCCGAATCGACCCCAACATACCCAATTTATACATGCCCAACGAACCACACTCATCTAACACTCACTTCCCTATGGTCCGACCCGTCGAAACAGCTCGTTTTCTGTGCCTCCCGTTAGATGAACTGCACGACTACCAAACTGAAACGTACCACCCAATCGGACACTAGATAACCTTTACAAAAACAACAACAGAGCATATTTTACTAATAATGTTCTCGAGTATAACTGAGCAATTTTAAAAGTTGATGCCACAATCTCAGGGCTTTTTCTGTCACCAATATACACTGAATAGTAGTTTCCGACGTTACTGCTGACTGAAACTGTTTAGGTTGGTCAATATGTGTGATAATTTAATGAAATTAGGTGAACAAGTTTTCTTTATTACTATATAATTATATTAATGGTTTAGCATTAAATATGTATGGAATTGGTATAGAACATGGTCTAACCCTCATATCCATAAAATAATGAATTCCGGTCCTCTGGTTGACGTTTTGCACATCAACTCAATAATTTAAATTTAGAGACCCGAAAATATGGCCGCGGTTTTGATTTTTGAAAATTGCGAAAGTTTGGTTATGTTCCAACTTAGCCTTTCCTTACTTGTTCTTGTTATATACTTATAATTTTTGGTTTGTTTAGTGTTTATATATATGTAGTACATACAGTTAATCTGCGTCCGGGATTCGATGCCGTTCTGTGCAATATATTACTATTCAATCATGATTATGAATATCTAAAATCGTACATGTGGTTAGGATAGGCATGAATACATATGTATATAGGATGTATGTATATGAATATCAATTATATTAACAATAAAATGTCAGTGTTGCCGTTTATTGAAACGGGTAAATTTTAGGATAGCATCGCCTTAATTCTGGTTTAAAAGCTGAGGTTCTCCAGATTAAAAAAATACGTAAATTTAGTCGCCGCTGACTTATGGTTTTTGAAATATTTGAATTTAAAGTTTAAAAATTCAACTATTTTAGGTGCGTATTTCTTTGATGCCTTTGATCTATTGAATGCAAAACAAATGTGTAGAAACGAATTAGTGAAGTGGTAGTGGATATAAAAGTTAATAATATATATGGAAACTTTATTACTTGAATTTTAAATGCAAATATCTCAAAAACCATAAGTCAGCGGCAACCAAATGTATATATTTTCTTAATCTATGGAACGGCCTCTATCCATACATACGCATTTTAACTCCGTATTCGGGGGATGCTATTCTAAGTCCTAGTCGTTAAAACCCTTAAATAATGATACTTATCCTAGATATAAGATTACTTGGTAATATTAAAAATACCTCATTCTAATAATTCCTGAATACGAGCACAATCATTCACTTTCAAATTTTTGAAACAGACATGTGCATGATATTATTTACATATGTAATATATGCATATATGTGAATATCTAGCGCTGAATATGAATGAAATATATATAAATATGCATATATATTACATATGCAAATAATTTAGAAGTTTTAGATTCATATGATAGTTTTAGATGCAAATTATCATAAAACGGCAACACTGAGAACTCTTATTTTTTAGCATATTTTACTATTAAAGGTTAATATATGAATTTTTATTTACATCGAAAGTCATCAGTGGCTCTTTTCCATCTTCCAAGTAATACTCAATATTCATAGTTACAAGCCCTTGTTGAAAAATGCGTAAGGTAATCATTGTCTCCTTGTTTTCTGTGAACACACAGAAAAATCCATCCTCCATGGTCATTTGATATGCAAGTTCGACCTGTGGAAATATGTTTTCTACTTCACCACGAACTACTTTAGCAATTTCTTGTCGCTGTTTCGTATCAGTAGTCCTTTCTGAATCCACAGTAAAATCGAAAAGAATGGTTTGAGCAGTCATCTTTATGAAAATATTAGGGGTTATTTTAATATTTTATTAATAAATTTCACTCTAAAATTAGACTACACTTATTGACAAAAAATTTCACGAATATGTGGTATCTGTCAAAACGAACGGTATTATTGATTTTGTTTTGATTAACTAAAGCTTTGCGACAACCAGCGACACCTTGCGAGTTTCCAAAAGGCTTAGGGAGCATCTCGGCAGACAATTAAAAATTGCTGAAAGTCTGAATTGCTAGCAATATTGCCATTTTTAATGTTCAGCAATTGATGTCTAACTGTATTTAATGCCATACATTGCTTGCAATGAACTGTCATCTTGGTGGTTCCACAGAGCTGTTTTCATTTGCACACACGTTTTTAAGAGGCAACATGTGCATGCATAATTTCGATAGAATGATGCGAGCAAAGCAACTGCAATTAAGCTAAGTACTATTCAAAACATAAATTTTAACAAAACATGGAAAATAGTATGTATATGTATGGTTAATAGTTTAATGATAATTGTTAGCATATGTAAGTAAGTATCAATAATCATATTTAATTATGCAACAATTCTTAAAGTCTAAAACCATAAAATCTTATTTTTCTAAACTATACATTTGTAGAAAAAAGTAAATTTCTACTTTACTACTTTTTTCTCTACTTTATTCAACATGCCAAACCTTCGCCATTTGCATAATGCATATTTTATGATAGCAATTCCCTATACAGATGGTTAGCAATGCATAGGCTGTGGAGATGCAGTGTTAAGGCTAATTCACATGCGCGGATCGTGAATCGCGCAGTAAACGTTCAATACTGAAAATAATTTAAAAATATGTGAATTTTCTTAAAATTGTATTATTTATTTATATTTATATAAAAGTTTTAGTATTTTCAAATATCCGGTGAATACTTTACAGTGCTTGCTAGAACTTTTTTGATCCAACGCTTCCTCTGAATTTATTTCTTCAAAACGAAGAAGCGTAAAACGAGCACGATAGGACAAAACGACAATATACTGACGTCTCCAAATAAAAGCGACAACTGTAAATTACTGTCAAAAAATACCTCATGCACAAAAATTTGATTTTGACAGCGTCCCATTTTCAAATGCCAAATTGCCCAACTATAATCTAATTGCCACTCAACCGGAAATAATATTAATTCTGATACATTCATTTGCACGTACAATATTCAGTTCGGCATAGACCCGCTGATTCGCTTTGTCACTCTGTAAACGCACAATGTCATTTTGTGACAGTTATTTGGTTGTACATATGTATATAAGTACGTACACGTACCTGTAAACATACGATTGCAGGAAAGGAAGAAAAAGAAACTACGCATATGAGAATAAAATTTAAATATGTATAGTTATGTTCACATTAATAGCAGTGAGAGTGGCGATATGCTATAACCCTACAAGAAACCGCTGATGGGTTCACCAATCCACTCACATTTGTTGTCAGTACTGACGGTCAATTTACCCGGCAATTGACCATCACTATTATTGTTAAAAAGAGACCCTTACGATTTATATTGCTTCCTTAATATATGTAAATAAGAAATAGCTGCATTCTTTAGTACTGTCACCACCGACAGTAAAATGACCGTCAATGTTTACGATTTTTTCAAAAGCAAACATTCCCATGTTCAATTCAAGCGAGATACTGTTCCAAAAGGTGGGGTAGCTATTTACCAAATTAATAATAATGTTGGTAATACTATGACTCCGAATATTGAATCATTTATTTTTATTAAATTTCATATTTTTATTTGCCATTAAAAAAATTGTATCTTAGATATTATTATTTTTGAATCATGAATATTGAGATATGATAAAATACCTCTAAAAGTATGCAAACATTTTGTGTATACTTTGTGATCGTGTTAGGTTTATTTCCGTTACGGAATTTCTTGATTCAGCCGCGGGGCCCGCGATTGAAAATATGCAATAGCTTAAAAACACCTTATGGAATAATTGATTGGTGCATTGATTTTAAAGGACGCCTTGCTGCGAAGATGTGCCGTCGATATCCGAAACAAAGCCTATTCAACTAAATATTAGTTGAATTGTTATATTATTTTAGTTTACGATGGAAATCTTTGCGTTTTTACTGAAATATATGTCTTTTGCAGTATCACTGTCTTTTTTTATAAACACTCATTGTATGTGAGTATAGTTTATAATCTTTTCAAAAGCGCATAAATATACACCTAATTCTGTTTTTTTTTTTTTACATTATTGGGTGTTGCATTAATTCGTGCGGTTTTTTTACGAAAATTAAGACTTTATTGTGAACATATTGTTATACATTTAATGTTCAAAGTATTGCCCATCGGAAGCTATGATGTTTGCCCATCTTTCTGGCAGTTTGTGGATCCCATCCCAAAAGAACTTCTCCGGCTTGGAGGTCAAGAAAGAATCAATCCAATTTCTGATACCCTGTTCTGAAGAGAAGCGTACTCCGGTGAGGGCATTCTGCATTGATCTGAACAAGTGGTAATCGGAAGGTGCTATGTCTGGGCTATAAGGCGGGTGAGGTAGAACTTCCCCCACAGTTTTCCAAATAGTTTTTAATTGGCCTTGCAACATGTGGCCGAGCGTTGTCATGATGAAAAATTATTGATTCGTGTCTGGTCGCATATTCTGGTCGTTTTTCCGCGATGGCCTTTTTCAAACGAATCAATTGTTTTCGGTAGAGGTCCCCATTGATCGTCTGACCCGATTTCAATAGCTCATAATAGAGCACACCCTTGTGGTCCCACCAAATACATAGCATAACCTTAGCAGCATGGATATTCGGCTTTGCCGTGGATGTTGATGGTTGGCCGGGCTTCACATACGATTTCTTGCGCTTTGGGTTATCATAATGAATAAATTTTCATCGCCAGTGACACTCCGCGGCAAAAACGCCTTCTTTTGGTGGCGTTGAAGCAACATTTCCGACATGCAGAATCGACGTTCGACGTCTCTTGGCTTTAGTTCATAAGGCACCCAATTTCCAAGCTTCTGGATGAATCCTAATGATTTTAATCGTCTGGAAACGGTTGCTGGCATGCATCTGCGTCGAGCAATGTCTCCAATTCTTCGTCTTAAAGTTTGTTTGGCTGTCCGGGTCGTTCTCCGTCGTCTAAGTCGAAATTGGCACGTTAGTTCGGCTAAAGCATGGTCACCATAAACGTCCAGTAAAATACGATGGCTTTCGGCAGCACTTTTCTTCATGTTAAAATAATGAAGAAGAACTCCCCGCAAAAACACTTTATCTGGTACAAATTTCGACATTTTCAAATGAATGAAACAAATTGTTGTTCACGCTCAAACAATTTATATCTACTGAAAACGACGCGCAATGGCAGTACCTTTGAAATGAATATAGCCACAGATGAATACGACGCGAAATAATACTAGTAGAGCCCTCTTTTAGAAAACCGCACGAATTAATGCATACACCAATATTTTTTTTTATAAATAGCAGAAATTTATGGTAACGATCAGCATTGATCAATGGCTTTTTTTACAGAATTTATATTTACCTACCTTTACACCAACAGTGGTGTACTCCCTGTTTTAATTGAGTTATACTAAATAATGTAAAATTCTCTTATATCATTCTGTAGTTGTAAGTAATTGGTGTATTTTTAAATGAATAAGCCATGTTGAAGTTTGTTACAATAACTTATTTAAGGCACATAAGCGTTACGAATCAAAGCTTTAAAAGCAAACACAGAAAGTCAAATAGATATACATATGTGTTCTAAGTTTCGTTAAAAATGTGATATACAATTTCTTCAATAATAATTCGAAAAAATTTCTTTTGAGCATTTGCATATATTCGATTTAGTTTTAAATAAACTTTAAAACATAATAGAGTTAAAAAAAATGTTGTGGTCATTTACATCCAATTGTTGATTTCTTTCCTATACATACATATGTATGTATGTAAATCCAGAACTAATCTAAGATTTTTTTAAAGAATAGGCTTATTGATGACGACATTTTTGTTAATTAATGTTGATTACATTTTTGTAAATATTCATTATAGTTTCGTTATTAATTAAATAGTTTTCATCCTATAAAATCTTATAAATACCACTTGGGATATTTCACACTTTAGAACCAAGTTGAATTTTAGTTTTACCGTCGATAACGTCCAAGATATGCTTTGCAATTTGGACAGGTGTGATGTACATCCATACAATCATCTATACAACATGGTATAAGGCAACAACCAAGCCAGCAACTAAATACAAACAAAACACTAACTATTTAATTCTGAGTAATGTCAAGCTTTTTTACATACCCTAAAAGAGCTATTATAAATCCTGACAAGTAAGCGATCATGCCTGGTTCCGTACGTGTAGTAGTTTCGATTTCGATATGACAAGAAGGACATATCATATGTGTAGCAGTTCGACCGATAGGTACAACCGTGGTTACAATTGCATTGTTGGATGATGGAACAGTAGATGCTGCAATTGGTGTAAATGGTCCAACCGGTTTAACTCCACCAACAGCTTCCTGATAAGATGGTGGCGCCGATGGTGGAGGAACGTATGTATATTGCGGGGGCGTTGTTCCATTTGCTTTGCTCATTTTATTGAGATTTAGTAGTTAGATTCTAGTAAAAAACAAACACAGAATAGGGTTGATTTTAATCTACAAAACGTACTGTATGTAATATATATTTCACAAATATTTTTATCAATAAGGTAAAAAATATGCTCTTTAACTACAATTGTGGGCCATTGGTGTTTCGTGCCCATCAATTAAAAGAAAATGGGTAAAATGTTTGATATCCATTTTATATCCAAAAAGCTTTGGAGGCACATCCTATTTTTTTCAAATTCAAAACCCAAACATTCAAAATAAATTTTTTAGTAAAATATTAACAAAAAACCTGAATATTTTGTAAATCGACATCACAGCCTTCAATTTTTTAAGTAAAATATTAAAAAAAATATATATTACATTGAATTGGACAAACGGAATAAACTAAGTATATACATATGTACATGTTATATGTATATATACATATGTATACCTTATATGAAAATCTAAATAGGCATGCGCAAAAAGCTCTTAACATTGCACCTTCTCAGTTTATTTGTATTCTCTGGCCAAATTTAGGTAGTATACACGGATTTTCGAAATAAGCACAATACTCAAATGTTTAGAGGATGTTTAATGGAGCAAATTTCCACCTAATTCGATTAAGATATTTGACGTAATAGTTTGTGAGATATGTGTCCAGATCTTGTTATAGGGTGCCACTAAGTTTACTTTTAAAAATCTCTTTCTAATTGAAAGGTACGGAATGTTCAATAACGTACAACAATGCAGTAAGTAACGCAACATAACAAAATTTTATACTTTCCTTCAAAACTATATTGAAACATGTAAGGAAGGGCTAAGTTCGGATGTAACCGAACATTTCATACTCTCGCAAAGTCAAATGGTATACTCGTTTTAGATTTCTTCGTGGATATTGCCGCCTTGTTCTATGTTGACCGATATTTTCGGTAAAAAGTCAACTATAGGCACTGGGGTCCATATATTCAGTACCTAGGGGCTTGAACAGTTTTGGTTCAATTTAGATAATTTTTGGTCACAAGGTGGCATACTTTAAACGTATTATTCACGCAGATATAATTATTGTTGGAAAGTGAAAAAATCAGATGGAATTTAAAATGATGTTGTATGGGAAATAGGCGTGGTTGTAATCCGATTTCGCACATTTTTGTACTATAACATAGAAATATGAGAAGAATATTATGTACCGAATTTCGTTCGGTTCGGTTAAGCAGGTCCAAATATATGGGTTTTCACCTAAAAGTGAGCGGTGCGACGCCCACTATCTAATTTTGAACGTGATTCCTATAAAACCATCTTGTACCATCCCAGAGATAAAAGTTAGTGCTTGATTTATCGTGCTTTTAGTAGTCTTTAACAGTACCGTTATATGGGGAGTGGGCAGGGTTATCACCTGATTTCACCAATTTTCACACCGTCGATCGAGATGCTAAAAAACATTTGTTCCCAGTGAATTTTGTTATTATAGCTTCAGTGGTGTAGGAGATATGCACATTAAACTTATTAGGGGGCGGGACCACGACCACTTTAATAAAAAAATTTTAACTGCTGATGCCCCTCCCTAATGTGATCCTGTGTACCAAAAAAATGTCTTGTATCTTGTTGTGGAGCTTAGTTAAGGCAAATTATTTGTTTTTGATTAATGGCGTTTTGTGGGCGTAGAAGTGGTCCGATTACGCCCATCTGCAAGACCAACTGTCTTACGGTACCAAGCATTAAAAATAAGTGACGCCGGAGCAAGCCACGTACAATTGTTCGTTAGAAAAGCATTAATTTTCGAAATTTAAGCTAGCTATTGTTAACGTTTACCCTTGAGCTTTGTAAATTGGCATTGCAAATGCAAAACGCAAAGGAAACTGTAGCATCTGGGGATGGGGAATGTTTATTATAATTTGAAGGAACATTCTTTTTTTGAGAACTATCTCTTTTAAATGTTGGCCGTGGCCACGTCTCAGATGGTCCATCCGTTGAGTTCAATTTTCGATGACTCGTTCGAGCATTTCCACTGGTAACTGGCGAATGACCTTTTGTTCAAAGGTCTGACCCGAAGCGGGATTGTCCGCATGGACTTTAGACTTTACATATGCCCCCGTTTTGTTGAAACCAAATGTCGCCGAGATCACGAGCTTCAATTTCAGGTATAAATAGTCGGTTACCATGGCGCGATAACGATCGCCATTGACGGTTACTCTCTCACCGGCATCATTTTTGAAGAAATATGGACCGATGAATGAACCGGCCCACAAACCTTACCAAACCGTTTTTTTTCTGGATGTAATGGCAACTCTTGAATCTCTTCAGGTTGCTCTTCGTTCCAAATTCGGCAATTTTACTTGTTTACATACCCATACTACAACCAGAAATGGGCCTTATTGCTAAATAAAATTTGGCTCGAAAACGTCGGATTTTCTTGGAACTTTTCAAGCGCCCATAGAGCGAAGCGATGTCGCTTGGGAAGGTCGAGTGGATTCAAGCGAAGAAAACATCGAAACAGTGAAAAACATTGTGTTTGAAAATCTTCGAATCACTATTAGGGAAGTGGCAGAAGATGTTGGCATATCAATCGGCTCATGTCATTAAATTTTTTCGATTGTTTTGTGCATGCAACGTGTGACAGCGAAGTTTGTTTCGAAATTGCTAAATGCACCAGCTGACACATCCATGCTTATACGTGAATTTTGGTCAAAATCAAAACCGTTATCATGCCTCAACCACCGTATTCACCTAAATTGCCTCCCTGCGAATTTTTGCTATTCACAAAACTGAGGAAACCAATGAAAAGAAAGCGTTTTGCCACAATCGAAGAAAGAGCTGTTGGCCATACCGAAAAGCGCATTTCAGAAGTGCTTCGAGGATTGGAAGAAGCGTTGGCACAATTGTATTATGTCCGAGGGGGATTACTTTGAAGGGGACAAAATAGATATTAATTGTAACGCAATTTCCTATTCTATTGTGAATTTTAAAAAACACGTATTTTTTTTACTCTACATTTTTTTCTATTCATTATAAAACATTCATGAATTAATCACATTTCTTGTTTTAAATAAAATGATATTCGAACTAAATCCTTTGCGTTTGAAAGAAACAAATATGAAATCATCTAAATATTTTAATGTAAACATAAAAAAGTAAAATTATGGTCATGTAAAAAGTTCGTTCGGTTTTTTATTGATTTTTCAAAAGATGATAACTTTGTGTACATTAAGTCAAATATGCGCCGTTTTGTTCGTAAACTTGTTGCCAACGAGATGCCAACTTCATTATACTCCTCTCGTACAAGTAGAGGGCTGCGTCCCTATTGGCAAAAAACTCGGAGAGCCAATTTTCACAGGCCTCTCTTGAGGTCAACTTCTCACCATTAAGCGCGTTCGCCTTCGAAATAAGGTTCATGTTTAGGTTATTTAAAAATTGTAAGTAATTAAATTGTAATTGTAATTAAAATATTTAGTTTTAAACGTTAATTTCGAAAATCATTTGATTAAAAACAAAACATGTACATATATTTAGACCGCATATAGGATATCTAGTTTGTTAAAACTAATATTTATTATATATATTTTTCTGTTATATGAAAACCGAGAAATACCCAAAAAATACATTAAAAAATCTCAAAACTTATTTCTTTCCTTAGTTCCACCACTGTCAAATCTTATAAAAAAATGTGAACCTTGACAGTGCTCTCTCGATTCAAAGAGTTTCGTATCATTTTATCAATGATTGGCAAGACCATGGATAAAATGATCCGAAACTCTTTTTTTTGCTAGTTGAGAGAGCCCATGATCTCGGGGTCGGCTTTAGAATAATATCTCAGGATTTCGATAATAAAATGGATATGGGCGGATAGAGGATGTTCTCCAGATACAGCCACCGTATGTAACAGTTTTGTTAATGTGTGAATAAATCTAATCGAACAATAAATTAAATATTGATATAAAGTTATTTTTACACTATTTAATGTGAAATAACTGTGCACAAACGAATTAGCTACGCACATTAAATAGTTGGAATGTTCAACTTTAAACGCAAATATCTTGACCACTCTACATATATATAAACTTTTCCCGCTGCTATATCTATATACATATATTCTTGATTTGCAAAACATCCTCTATTTGCTCTGGATACTACATCAAGATTTTTTTTTGGAGATTGGAAATCGAGCAGTAAAACTCCCTTGAAATAAATTTTTTGTTTGGCAATATTGCTCCTGATAAGTTTACCTAGGTAACAATTATTGTCTGTGGCACCTGGATCTTGAATTTTTTGTATAAATTAAATTTGGCTTGTATGCTTATATAAATATTTGGTAAATGTTTAGTTTAGGTCCCCCAACTAAGGAGACCTCAAAAATGAATTAACGTAAAAAAATTCATCACGATGCAGAGTATGTGTAAGTATTAATATCACAATAAAAGTGCACTAACATTGATATTTTAATATAAAGTTTCAGAAACGTTTATGAAGAAGAGGAGTAAATACACCAAAAAAACTAGACCACTGAGTGGTTTTTCAAAGAAAAAATTTAAACAATTAATTTAAATGTATCACAATTTTTTATTTTTAATGTATATTTATAAAAAAAAATTTAAAAAAATAGAAATATTGAAAAAATTCACTTTCCGCTCACGGATTTGTAATCCACGCTTAAAAATAAGACGATTTAAAAAAAAATTCATTTTTGAGGTCTCCTTAGTTGGGGGACCTAAACTATACATTTACCAACGTTTCTTTAATACTTGTGCGTATGCGAACTATACATATTAGTATAAACATATGAAAGGCTCATCAACACATCTACTTATGAAAAAGATCTATACAAGTTTATATATGCGAAAGTTGGTGGTTTTTATGAGATGTTCCTTTTCTATACTCCAGAATGTGCATAAAGAGAACGTATACAAAATATGATGGCGTTCTAACGAAACCGTCTTATTATTAGTGACGTCATTGTTAAATACACTACATTTCATCACTCAATATGTACATTCCAATATTAGTAGTAGCATAAATTCATGAACGATATCTATATTTAAGCCTTTCACACACTGTTTAATTCCATGTACTGACCTCAATAAATATATTATAATAATAAATGTACAAAAAAATACGACCAATAGGGCTCACCACAAAGTATAATATTTTTAACAACTGAAAATTACGATACATACGAAAGTTTTACAAAAGACAACTGAATATGAAAGTTGAATCCACAAATGTGGAACTCAGGTATTTATATTTTGGTATTTTTGTCTTCAAATACATAGATGACATTAACCCATTAATGCATGTAGCTAATGACATGGTAAATACTTGAGTGGGAGACCAAATAATTGATGTCACTTTTTGATATGAAATAACTCATATCGATGCATCGCTATCATGATTTAATTATATAAGACGGTGTTTCTTCGGAGCGTGATTCGTCTAACAAAAAATATTTATAATCTGTTTTGTCAAAAACTTTTTTTGTTTTTTTCATTAATTTCCAATTTATGTTTTGTTAATTTTGGATGATTAACAATCTATTCGTATTCAGTCATCACTCAAAAATTACATTCTCATTGATTGAAATTTTAAAAATTGTATGATGTTGTTGTTGTTGTAGCGGCAGAATTCTGTCGAGTTGACAGTCCTTGGCCGGAATAAACCCGGGTCCGTTCCGGTTACGTAGACCCGACTGTCGTGGGAACGGAAAAAAAAATTTTATGATCGTTATATAGTGTTGAAAACTTATATTTGGTATAAAATTAAATTTTTGGAATTTTTTATGCAGAGCTATGATTTTGATAGAATGGTCTTTGCAACGCTGGTTTTTCGTATTTACTTTATAATCATCTTTAGCTTATATTTCTCTAATATGATGTTCTTCTAAAAATAGATGCTAAATATTACATGAGAGAAGTGAAATCTCCGAGAGAAATTTTAATAAATTGTTAAAAGTTATAGCGTTCCTTCATTCTGTGTGTAATGGAAACAGTTCTATTTTCTGCTTGTTGCGATTAGTTTATTGTTTTTTTTTTACACTGTATTCATTTAATATATGTTGTGAAGTGAGCTCCACCTTGTGTTTGTTTCTAATACAATTACATTATTCATTCGTTTTGTTGGATCGGAAAACCTGAGATGGTTTTTTAATTAACTAAAAGGAAAAAAAGTTCTGTGCATACATACATCTATATGTGAACAAATAGCACTTATTTATTTGAAACCCTAGAAGGTATTCGCAGAAAAAACTGTTTAAAAGATGTTTTTGTATTTAGAAATATAGACAACTTTTGATATAAATGAAAAAGTGAATACACTCTTGGTATTTTACTTGTGTCTAAACCAAATACTTTATATCATTTTAATAAGCAGTATTGACGACTGAACATCTGCTACACCAAAAGATAAGCAGTTCGTTTGAATCGCAAATATTTTAAACACGGAGGCGAAATATGTGCATGTATTAGCACAGATTTTTAGTAAGCAACTTACGTCATCGCTATTCGTTTTCGTTTTAAGCGTTCTTGAAAATATTTGTTTTATATATTATTTATTTTAGATTCTGCTGCATAAGAGCGAGCACAATTTGTTGAATCGTAAAATACCCATTTAAATAAAACGTTGCAAAAGTTACAAACAGAATGATTCACGTTGGCGAGAATTCTTGGAATCTACGGATTTTTATCACAGATTTGCGAATTGAAAAAACTTTACGAGTACGGGGCGATCAGCATATTGGTGGTATTATGCTGCAATTAGTTGAACCCGAAAACCCAAAAGATTGGTCAGACCATGCCCTTTGGTGGCCTGCAAAAAATGTATGGTTGACGAGAACCCGATCAACATTAGATCAGGTAGGTGTACAAGCGGATTGCGTACTCCACTTTACTCCAATGCACAAAACTCTCCGAGTGCAATTGCCGGATCTACGATATTTAGATTGTAGAGTGGATTTTTCTATTAAGACATTTGCATCAATAGTAAATTTGTGTAAAGGGCTCGATATTAGATATCCTGAAGAATTATCCTTCTGTAAGCCTATTGAACCCGATCACCTTAAAAAAAATTTTTCGAAATTACCTCAAAAGGCAATACCAGTAGCAGACTCTGATGGGACAACGTATCTTCAACCAGCTCTAGATACAAATTCTTTTATTCCCATCAATTCTACATTCAATGGAAGCAATGGTAGTCTGGATAAGCAACAAAATGAAAATTTATTGTGTGGTCCGGTATCCCCTTATGCTTCAACGCCTCGACGAGGTCCAAGTGGAACTGCTCCAAGTACTCCAATCAGCTCTCCAACAGGAACTTGGAAGCAAAGTAACAACGGTTACACAACAATTGATTCGTCTTCTAGTCTCGGTGACATTCAAGAGAATTTAGCATGCTCACCCAGATCTCCAAGTCCAGATGTACGTGCAAGACTTTTACGTCCGCGGACTTTAATAGAAAAAGCGAGAATGAATGTTGGATGGCTAGATTCTTCTCTTTCAATAATGGAACAAGGTATTCGCGAATATGATACCTTATGTTTACGTTTCAAGTATTATACATTTTTCGACATCAACCCGAAATACGATCAGGTGCGAATAAATCAATTGTATGAACAAGCCAGATGGTCGATTTTAAATGAAGAAATTGAGTGTACTGAAGAGGAGTCACTTATGTTCGCCGCTCTACAGTTTCAAATAAATTTTCAAGCGGATTCACATTCGTCCAAATTAGATGTCGTAGATTCTGGCAATGGAGAAAATGGAACATACGATGACATTGATTCCGCACTTAATGAACTGCAAATTACATTAGAAGGGCCAAATGCTACTACAGAAGTGAACAACATTACAAAAATTCCAGAATTATCAGACTACTTGAAATTCCTGAAACCTCGTAAATTTACACTAAGAGGTTATAAAAGATATTTTTTTGCATATCGAGATCTTCATCTTCATCTGTACAAAACCGCTGATGACTCTCGCCGCGGTGCTCCGGAATTGACTATAAACTTGCGTGGATGTGAAGTAACTCCCGATGTTAATTTAGCTCAAGGAAAATTTTCTATTAAATTAGAAGTGTCTCCAGAAGGTCATACCGGCCCAAATAGCGAAGTGTGGATCCGCTGTGACACAGAAGAACAATATGCCAGATGGATGGCCGCTTGTCGATTAGCATCAAAAGGGCGTTCTCTTGCTGATAGTTCATATGAAAGTGAAGTGACAAGTATTCGATCATTTCTAAGCATGCAGAAACCAGTACAAGGAATTGCTGTTAATGTAGACCCACGAAGCATTGATGCAAATGACTATTTATCTCCCAGGATGTTGCGCAAAGCATCTGCAAAAGCAGGTCAACGGATTTTAGAAGCGCATGCAAATGTACGAAAGCTGTCGTTGATAGAAGCAAAACTTAAATACATAGAGGCCTGGCAATCGTTGCCTGATTTTGGAGTAACATTGTTTGTTATTAAATTTGATGGACACAAAAAGGAAGAACTTCTTGGGGTTGCACATAATAGAATCATGCGGATGGACCTCAACACTGGTGATCATATTAAAACATGGCGCTACAACACGATGAAAGCCTGGAATGTTAACTGGGGTATTAAATGTATGATGATCCAATTTCATGATGAAACAGTTGTATTCTCATGTCAGTCAGCCGATTGCAAAGTTGTTCACGAATTTATTGGTGGATATATATTTATGTCAATGCGATCAAAAGAAAATAACCAAACTTTAAATGAAGAACTTTTCCATAAACTAACCGGGGGATGGGCATAAAATAAATATGCAGGCTTCGTCCAGTATTTCGTACGCTTGATACTCATACATAACAAAAATTTCATAGTCCATTAAAAAGGACTCTAAATACTTATAACATTATGGTTGTTTTTTAATGTCGTGCAAAACCTTTTTTGTGGAATAATTTATAAAATATGATTTCATTTTTAACAAATAAGTGGTCAATAAATTTAAAAATTTTTAAAAACGAATTAATATACATATGTATAACCATGATATCATTTCAATCGTTATACTGGATTGAACTGCATTTAATCAAGAAAAGCCTGTCTGAAACGTTCAAAATTATTAGAAAGTAAGATATTAAGCCAAACTAATTACACTAGGTATTCGTAATGTTCTTTCTGATGTACCTTACATTTATTTTTTATATAAAGGTATTATCCATTTTTATAACTATACTATTAACATTTTACCAGTTTTAACAAATTATACTATTCTGTAAAATGTGTAAACAAAAGTATGTATTTGTATATTTTTCTAATTATCTAAACAAAGTACATAAACTGTTAAATGTACTAAATGTCTTTAAGTTTTATTCTAATTAACAATTGTATTGTTAACATGACGGTGCCTTATTCACAAGTAGCCTAACGTCAAATATTACAACTTATTTGTTTAGAGCAGGCTAATTTCCCATCAAAAAATATTAAATTTTATATAAAAGTTTCATTTATATATGCAATTATGTTATGCCCGAATAATGGAATTGAAATATTGCTATGCCGAATTATATAGTCGTTTTGAAATGTTTAGCTATGAGACAAAAAGAATTAAAAAAATAGTAAATGTAACTAATTGGATATAAACAAGATTACATCCATCAATTTAAGAGGAAATGATATTGCGAGGTGTGCAGTTGAAATACAAAACAATAGCTAAATAATAAACATGGTCTTTATTGTAAAATTATCCACAATAAGAATGCTTTTAAATTTTTGACTGGTGAATTTTTAGTGAAAAATGTTTGAATCTGAATAAATATTCAATATTACAAACAAATACCAAGTAAAAATAAATTATGTACTATTTATGTTTATTTAATACCAATTTGTGCATTAACAAATAAATAATTTTAAAATACTGTATTCTGGTAATGTATCGCACCAATCAATCAGACATTAGGAGGAAAAAGTAATAATAGTACTCGATTGGATATAAAAATTGATTTAAACTTAAAATAATCATTGCCGATATTGAAATTTTGAAACAATTTCCTCTAGAAGGGAGATGGAGGTTCGTCATTCAGTTGGCTGTGATTGGTAGCCGACAGCCATGAACCAAGATTTATCGTTACAGTTCTGACTGTTATTAAAAAAATTTTAATAAATGGACATACATAAATAAGATTTTGAAAGTAATTTTTAGAGTAAATTTAAAATATATACAAAAACTTATTCAGTCTTTAAACATAACCTCTACATTTATAGGAGATCTAGAGCACAGATAAATATAAACAGAACAGATAGCTTCTTCAGAAAAACAACTATAGTTATGTGAGAATAACTCTTGGTACAAATAACGTTGAAACCGATGTCTTTCTACATTCATAACGAAGGCAAAAAAGGGTCCTCATATTTTTATGTAACGTGTGTATCTGTCTGATAAGAAATATGGTACATTTCGCATGGCAACAAAGACAGCGAAGATGTTCATGACTTTATTCAAATTACTTTTGTTTCTTCGTCCAGTTAATCCTGTTTATATGTTGTTGTTGTTGTTGTATCGGCAGAATACAATCCTTAAGTAATTTTTGTGGAAACGTTCTATATGAATGAAGATCATAATGTACCATACATATGTACACATAGCCAATAAAGTCTGCGTTCATCCGACACATTTCTTAAAGTAAAGTAAAAACACAATGTAAATAGGTAATTCAGTTCAAATTTTCTACATGTATTTCTTCTTTATATTTTTAAGTTCAAAATGCAAAAACACAAATGTATATTCCTATTTTCATTTTTGTGATAACGGGATTTTAGTGTAAGAACAAGTAAACATAGGCACCAAGAAGTCTGCGTTCACTTAGCTCGAATTGGAAATACCGTTACTTCTCATGAATTTGTTAGTTCTTTTTGCGTAGATTCTAAGTTGTTTTAATATAATTAGTCGTTTAAAGAGCTCGTGACGCGTTTAAATAATATTTAAAAAAAATGGAAACCAAAGGAAAAAAAATTAGTCTGTCGGAAAATTTGGCAAACTATTGGAAGAACGTATTCTTCTGTCCAGCGCGTCGTAAACAATTTAAAAAAACCGTAATTTTAACGTCGAAACCGCGATCTGGCCGTCCGAAAATATTATCAGCCCGGGAAGAATGGAAAATAATAAATATGGTGAAAGTTAACCCTTGAATTACGTCCACAAAGATTATTGAAAACGTAAATATAACCATTAAAAAAGCAATTTGTGTCGAAACTGCTAGAAAATTTTTACGAAAAGCTGGACATCATGGTAGAGTCGCTCGAAAGAAACCATATATTTCATTTGTAAACAGGCGAAAGCGCATTGAATTTGCTCATAATTATATAAATAAGTCGACGAAATTCTGGAGACAAGTAATATTTTCGGATGAAAGTAAATTTTGCATTTTTGGCATAAATGGTCGACAAATTGTATGGCGCAAGTCAGGAACTGCCCTTGAAAAGCACAATCTTGTTGGTACAGTTAAACACGGAGGTGGTGGAGTTATGATGTAGGATTGCATGGCGGCTGGTGGTGTGGGTCAGCTTGAATTTATTGAATCCACAATGGATAAATGGGGTTATTTGAACATTTAAAAAAAAAACAATTTGAAACAAAGTTCCGAGAATCTTGGATTATTTTCGACGTTTTGTTTCAACAAGATAATGACCCGAAGTTTACTGCGGAAATAGTTAGACTTTGGCTCTTGTACAATGCTCCTAGACAACTTAAAATGCCCCCTCAATCACCTGACCTCAATCCTATTGAGCATCTATGGGATCTGTTGGAAAAAAGAATTCGTCAGCACACAATAACAAGTAAAGTGGCTTTGCGAAGTGTTATGAAAGAAGAATAGTCCCAGATTACAGCTGAGGAAAAAGATAAGTTGGTACGATCAATGCCAAATCGATTGGCGAGGGTTTAAAACAATGAGGCTATCCAACAATATATTGTATTTAATTTTTCTTTATCTTTTTTAATACTTTTGTAACTACTTTTAAAGCTGAACGCAGATTTAATGGTGCCTATGTTTACTTCTCCTTACACAAAAATCCCGTTATCACAAAAATGAAAATAGGAACATACATTTTTGTTTTTGCATTTTGAACGTAAAAATATAAAGAAGAAATACATATAGCAAATTTGAACTGAATTACCTATTAACATTGTATATGTACATATATGCTTTAATGTCCGCTTCGAGCAGCCTACGAACTTAATCAGAAAATGTTCGCAATATAAATCTACTTAGGAAACTGCTAGCGAGCATATACAGAACTCCACGAATATTAAGGTGTTACATGGGTCTTGTAACTTAAATCGATTTTTTTATTCAATTGTACAATTCATTAGGAATATTGTCTGAAAATTTCAAGCCGATCCGAGCCAAAAACGGCTTTTTCTCAAAACTGCTGTTTTAAAAATAAAGTTCTTGCAACACAGCTGATTCATTTGCTACTTGTAGGTTTATACTGTAACGGATTTCATGATAATTCGTCTACCTATAACTCCATCTTGAGTTCGATCACTGGATTGTTAAATAAAAGTCCCAATTTAATAGCTATACACTTATTTTTATTTCTAATCGAAAAAACTTTACGCTTTACTACCTTACTATCAACATGCTGGGGCTAGATGAGTCGATATGACTTAGTTGAAGGCACAACTTCTTATATCTTAATTGCTATTTACACGGCAACACTCCAATTAGAACTTTGTCTGCTGCGCAGTCCGGCAGCCCTTATATAGTAGATCCTTAACAAAAGTTCGCCACTAGAGCATTCTGGCAACTACGAATTCGCTGTCAGTGGTAATTTATTTTGTTCTATCATCCGTGTTCGTTACAATACAATGGATATACTACTTATAATGTACAAGTGATAATGTATCCATGATTTTTACGGTAGTAAATATTAAAAGGCAACACCTCAATAGCTTATGATATAAATATTAATTGGTTATAATTATCAATTCCTTGAACATAAATGTCTAGTGCACTCTTAAAGTAATAACAATAGCATTGGGTAAATTTTAGAATCGCCTAAAATTCGGGGTTAAAATGATTACGTACGGATAGAGGATGTCCTCCAGATTCAGAATATATATATATTTATATATATATATATACATAGTTGCGGCTGACTTATGGTTTTTAAGATATTTGCATTTAAAGTTCAAAAATTATTTAAGCTGTGTATATCTTCCAAATATAATGATTTCTCACTGATATTTTTAACTTTTATATCTACTAACACTGCACTAATTAGTTTCCACACATTTATTTTATATTAAGTGCAAAAATAGTGCATAAATAACTAATTCAATATTAATTTTTGTTCCTTTCTTTTCATTCACACAACAAGAGGTTTGCATTCTAACAAATAATCAGTGTTTCCGTATCTACATAGTTCGTAAAGGAACCAAAAAGAATAAAGAAGACAGATAATACCCCAATGGCAGGTAATATATAATACATAATTCCTTTGAGCATTGGCGGCCTTCGTCCCTGGTCGGTCCAACACCGGTGTGTGCTTACTTTCTTTTATAATCCTTATTATTTAATTTTATTCGTTTGCAAAATATAGTACCACTTATTTTTTGTTTGCATGCAGCCTTTTTGTTATTGTATGAAGAAATTGATTTGAACTAAAGTTAGATATTGAATGAAAATTAGTTTTGCACTATTTAATACCAAACAAATGTGTAGAGATGAAATAATGAAGTGTTAGTGCACATAAAAGTTAAAAATATGAGAGAAATGCGCACTTTAAATAGTTGAATTTTTGAACTTTAAATGCAAATATCTCAAAAACCATAAATCAGCGGCAACTAAGTGTATATATTGTCTTAATCTGGAGAATCTCTTCTATTTGTACATAGCCATTTTAACCCCGAATGCGGGGTATGCTATTCTTAAACCCAGCCATAGCATTAACTTTAGACATTAATTAATGATTCAATGTGAAATCGGTAATAAAAAGTTAAAAAGAAATCGGATTTCGCATTTCTGAATAATTTTAAAGTATGGAATTTTTGTGATAGTTATATAATAAATCCAATATATTATTTTCAGATACTGCGTTCAAAATAAATATACGTCATGGTTGGTGCTTGTTACAATAAACATTGGAAGAAATGTTTGTATGAAAATGCTGAATACGACGACAATTACACAGATCCCAGTTTTCTAAAAGATTTGAAAACTAATTTAAATGTTCGCTTTTTCACTTTCGAGGAAGCTCTTAAAGGCATCACTAGGCTAAATAATCAAATTTCATGTATAACCGCTTTTTTGGTTATTTTTTATTTGCTTTACAGCGAGAGTGTTGCCCCACTTAATGTTTTATTAGTCACTGGACTAATCACTTCAGTTGGATACATCTTTTACCGAGGACATAAGCTTTTTGTACTTCAATATCTTCTGGAGGACTCAAAAACTTTATTGACGGTGTTGGTCTTTGGATATATTTTTGCTCCTTTACTACACCGTCTAACAAATGCTATAAGTACTGATACAATATTTTCAATGACATTCTTTGTTCTGCTTCTCAATCTAATATTCTTCGATTATGGATTATCAGCTGCAATGGTTTCAAAAGCGCTATCACTGAATGCTGCGATATTTGCATCCATTTGTTTGGCGTCCCGCCTTTCTACTGCTTTTCATGCGTTTGTTTTGCTTGTAGAAGCGTCTGTCTTTTTTGTACTTTATCCTATTTTCACATCTTTATACTGGCGATGGTACCTTTTGTTGCCTACTTATATGGTTTGTTGTTTTTTGTTGTACAACATTTCTATTAATATGCTTATAATTTATGCCATTTTAACGGGATTTATTAATATTATATGTCCATACATATTTGTGACACAACAACAATACAAACAAAATATTCATGGACCATGGGATGAAGCAATAGTAGAGGAAAACTCAGAGAATGTCATTAATGATAAATAATCAAACGTATTATTTGATAAATGTTATATATCATTGGAATTAATAAAAAATATTGTTTTTAGATCCATAATAACGGTGTTTTTTTAACTAACCTGCCTGTTTTGTTTGTGCGGGGTTACAATTTGTGGTTGTTGCTGAGGCGAAGAATACTTCTCAAATAATATTTAGAATTGTTGTCGATAGGAAGAGACTGTTGTACAGAGGTGAAAACATTCAATGGACTGACAGTGAAAGAATGCCGTATGTGGACTAGCCAGTTTATCTAATTTAATACAATAGATTCATGATTCCAATTGTTGTAACCGATTGGTATATTACAGCTATTTGGTTGATGTGATATTGTTGAAGTGCCGATGTACAACAGGGTGGAATTGCACATATTTAACTATATAATGTCTGCAAGTTCCAAAAATTCGAAAATACATATCACAACCTAAATAATATTAAACCTAATGATAATCAAGCATAATACATTCGCATATGCAATGCTGAGAAATATGCTCAATTTGTGAAAATTTATTGTAAATACTCATGTTCGTACATATATCAATGTTTAAAGTAAAAATGTCACAAAAAGTGAAAGATATTTTATTTCTTACATCTAAAATTTATATATTACATATGTATGCATGTAAAATTATGAAAATAAAAAATATCTACATCACTTCAATTTGGACAAACAATTGTCAAAAAGAAGAAATGCCTCCAATTTTTTTTTAAATTTTATAATTATAATCTAATATAACGATTACTTAGTTGTTAAAGTACTGAAAAAATTATAATTTTACTACTAAATTTAGATGAATATCCTACTAGGATACATTCACTAACTTTTACTATCATATTTTTGTCTATCGAACCAGTGCTTGATGCTTTATTAATAAATATGTTATTAATGTTTTATAACATCATATTACTTGATTCAATGCGATTCTGAATTTGTTATCAATCTTTGGTTGAATTCTTATCTATTCAGATTTTCAACCATTAATTATACCTGTAGCGAAATTGTAATAAAAATGGATAATACAAATTTTTTTCTGTGCGTTTGTGATTTTTTTTCATTTTGTTACTCTTCTCTCATATATGAGAGGCAAAGGTGTCACACTACATCTCCATTAGTCGTACGCCCAGACTCTGAATTGCCATTATTAACAGAATACGATGCACCAGCTAAACATTCCAAAAGTGAAGAGCCTATAATAAGTCCAGTCGAATTGAAAAGAAAATCGGGAAATGTGTTAATGGGACAGAATTTATGTAAAATAATAGCACAACCAATGAACAAAATATGTACCTGCTTCCACATCATTTGGATTTTTGGACGAGTTCCTTTGGCGACATGCATAAGGGGAATTTGTCGGCGAGGGCACCTGGTTCTGCCAAAAAAATAAGAATTACAATATATGGTTAAGTTTTGGATATGTATTATTAACTTGTTTTCAGAACTTACTAATTTGCTATTATTTTGACAACAAGTTGCTTTAACACATCCTTCGGCAGTACTTGGACAATCTAGTGCGCAATCAGAGCCACTCATATTTAGACTAGATGTACCGTCAGACATATTACAACCTTCTATTTCAACAAATTCAGGTTGGATTGTGGTGGAGTGTATGCCTTCATTGTGAAAAAATTCCTTAACTTTTTCAGCAATTTTCATGTATTCCGAAAGGTTCCGACATCTAATAATGAATATTAAATAAAAAAAATATTTGCAACATAAACGTAAGATACTCGTATTAAAAAACACAACACGTGTACACATGTAGATTTGTTACCTTATATGCGCTGAAGCGATTATGCGATCTCCAGCCAATTGCCAAACATGAAATTCGTGAACGGCCAAGACTCCGTCAACCTTTTCTAAGAGACGCTTTTGAATGGCATCGACCTACATTAACCAACACAAAATATAGTTTGAACCAGGTACTAGATCCAATCAATTACCTGAATATGAGTTGGAACAGTTTGCAGCAATATTAACGCAGATTCACGTAGAAGGGGCCAAACAGAATGTAAAATTAAGCAAACTAACACAATTGAAAGAGCAGGATCCATATAATATCGATATTTCCAGTCCGTTAACCATACCACCTAAACATACAAATGAACGGAAACAAAAATTCTCACAATGCGTTTCTATAGGCGATTTGTGCACATACCAAAGCGCTTATCACTACAATAATGCTACCCAAGGCATCACTTAATACATGTAAAAATGCACCTCTCATATTCATATGGCCTGCATCATGACTATGTCCATGGTTCAATTTCTTCACTGGTTTTTTCTAAAATACAATATATGTATATATTTTTTACTTCATTGTGTTTTATTATGTTTAATAAAATACCTCTTTTTCGTAAGCAAATTCAGCTTCGCCCTCACCATCATCTATATTAGCCAGTTCGGTGAGTCTGCTATGATTCCTAGTAAGACCTCCCCCATGTGAATGGCCATGGTGACCGCCGTGTTCTAGTATTGAACAAATGGATATAAATATGTATTTCTATATAAAAATTAAACACTCTTTCTTTTTTTACACGCCAATTATCTGTTTATATAGTTTTTCTCTAACATTTTAGCAGCAATGAAAAGCAAATTAGTTTTATTTTTACTTATGTAAATTTTCATAACATGTTGTGACAGATGACGTTACAAAATGGAGATCGAGCGTAGTTTTAAATTCATACACACTTCAATTTTACTCACCATAAAGCAAACATAAACCTATCACATTTACCAACAAACCTAGGCAGCCTACTATAACTAAGAGTTTCGGTTCGTGAATTTCCTCTTCTTCAATAAATCTATAAGATCATAGATATATTAACATATATTCCATTGCACGTGTGTTTAACGTTAATATTTTACCTTTTACAAGCTTCTATGGTAATGCTAAAGCACAAAGCAACTAAAAAAACTGCATTAACCAGGGCACCCAACACTTCTGCTCGCGCCCATCCAAATGTATTTTTGGACCATTTTTTCGGGGACATCTGAATGAATTTGGATAAGTCAAGAATTTTGAATTTTTATATGTACTTATATATATGGATATGTAAATATTTAACTATTACGTACTTTTACTGATAGGAATGATATGACAAGGGCAGCTATGTCACCTAACATATGAAAACTATCTGCTACCAAGGCCATTGAATTTGTCACATAGCCCACCACGATTTCCACGAAGAAGAAAAACGCAGTCAGCCACATCATAGAAAGTAAACGACATTTTTTCCCTGTATATTTAGACATTTTTTGATGCTACGAAAGAGAGGTATAAGTTATTGAATACATTACATACAGTGACTAACGCATATACATACATATTCCATAATAAATAAAATCTCGTGAAAAACAAAGGTCCGAAAATAGTGTGTGCAAACCTGATTATGGCAGCGTGTGTATACATACTTACATATGAATATATAATATATATATATATTCCCCTATCTTTATAATTTTAGAAAAGCCTAAAAATTAGGTCGTGCAAACTAGCTTGTAGTAACCCAATCACTATTATCATAAGAATTTACAAACATAACCCAGTTCCTGTCCAAAATATGTGCATATGTAAGTAAATATATATATTTATATATATACATACATATGTATGTATGTGTTAAGTATTTCTATCACCTAAAACTAATCGAGATAGATATCAAGTAGTACATATACACGAATCATGCTACAAAAACAAACCGTAATAACTTTTTTTTAATCAATGCATTACATTTTTTATTATATCTATACAATAAGAAAATTTAATTTTTTTTACCTAATTAATTATTTTTAAAAAATATGGACGGTAAATTACCTCCATGCTCAGCCACGCACATGCGACACCCAATTAGAAATTTATTCATTGCGCCTGAAGGGTTGAAGGTGGAATTGCCTCAATTATCATTTTTATGGTCTGCACATTTCTGGGTTCTGTTTTGTATACCTCTTGCTTGACATAACTCCATAAAAAAAAGTATGTTGCAGTCAGGTCGGGTGACCTTGGGGGCCAGCGGAAAGTGAAGTTTCTTGATATTGATTTGTTTTCAAATTTTCGTTGGAGCTCCGCAATAACCAGTCTGGCTATGTTTCATCTGGCTATGCTTCATCTAGCTGAATACAAACGCTATTGAAAGGATTACGTCTTCAGTGCAGTTCTGGGTAAAAAAACTCATTCAACATCTTTAAATAATGGTGCCCCTTGACAGTTACTATTACATCATTTTCTTCAAAGAAGTGTTTCCCGACAATACAGCTTGATGAAACTGCGCAACACACAGTGACTCGTTCTGGGTGAAGTTCCGTCTCGTGGATTATTTCTGGATTTAATTTACTCCATAAACTACAATTTTGCTTGTTTAAATTTCCGTTTAGATTAAAATAGGCCTCATCAGACATAAACAGGCAATTTATGAAGTTATTGTCTTCTTCGGCTATTTTAATCATTTTTTGGCAAAATTCCAGGCGAATACATAACGAATAAGAATGTTGCGGAAGTATTTACAATTAGTCAAGCATTTCTAATGTTCTGAAATGCCGTTTGCACATAACCTCAAATGATCAGGATCCGGGTGACTGTCTGTCCGTCCGTCTGTCTGTTCGTGCAAGTGATAAATTAAGATATTTTGATGAAACTTGGTGCACATATTCCTTGGTACCCAAGGGAGGAGGTTGGTATTGCAAATGGGCGGAATCGGGCCATTGTCACGCCCCAAAACTGCATTAAACCAAAAATTTTAAAGTGTCAACTAAGCCTCAAATTAAGATACAAAACTGTAATTTGGTACAAGAGATCGCATCAGCAAAGGGCACCTATGGGATGAATAATTTTTAACAAGTGGACGTGGCTCCGCCCCCTAAATAGTTTAATGTACATATCTTCCAAACCGCTTAAGATGCTGAAAAAAAGGAATTTTATCACCTCTTCAAACTCTGTGAAAATGGGTAAAATCGGATATTAACCACACCCACTCCCGATATAACGGTTATGTTGAAAAGTACTTAAAGTACGATTACTTACTGAATAAATGAGCCAAGCATTAAATTTAACAACCAAAATGGTAGAGAAGAGCTTGATAGGATCTGGTGTGAAAATTAGACAAGGTAAAATCTTAAATCGCAGGAACTATTTGACCGATTTCAACCAAATTTGGCGTGTGTTTTCCCAAACATTCCTATTGTACACTGATGACACCATGACAACCCCGCTTAAATCCCTTATAACAAACTATTAAATCCGTCTGATTTTTCACTTTACAGTATACAAAAAACACTTCAATAAAGTTATCAGAATAAGACTTTCTGGGGTAAAAGCAAGTCAACACTTCAATTAGCCCCCATATACCTAATATAAATATTTTCGAACCTCCGGATCACTTTATACCGCATCTATCGACCAATATGTAATATGACCGATATTGACGTCGGGCAATGGAATTGATGGCATGTACTCAAGAGCAAAATGCTATCTCACCGACCTTTTTTTGCTTCTTCTCTCCAAGGAGCCTGACACTATACCCCTTTACTGACTGGATTAAAATTACGTCGGTCAACCCTAAAATTTTAGGTGTTACATTCGACAGCCTCAGGCAAGGTAATCGGCCCGCCGGTCTTAAGCTACGCTGCACCAATATGGCCGCCTGGATGTAGTGCAACGCAGACGAAGAAGCTTCAGACATGTCAAAACACACTACTCCGAACTATCACGGGAATCAAGGAACATAACGAGCTCCTCTCCAAGCAGTTTCTGCTGGGATGTGTTAATAGAAACCCTCCTGCAGTCGCCCGCTTGAAGCGGAACCGTCTACTAGGAACATCAAGAGGTCCTTCATTGATTACGTCGACGACATTGGTACGACTTCGGACGCGACGAACTTTAGACATGCACTGACCGCCATTCACAGTGGAGCCATTAACACCTTCACCGACTACCTCTCAGTGAATGGCGTACTTGGAGTCAAACCACTAGCCATCACAGACGTAGAGCTCGAGTTTCCACGTGAATCTAGAGTGACCCTTGCGAAACTTTGTTCTGGGTACTGTAGCAGGTTAAGCTCCTACTTATCCAGAATCGACCCCGCCATACCCAATATAGGTCCTGCATGCAATCAGTCTCCGCATGACACTAACCACCTCTTTGCATGCCCAACGAACCCCACTCATCCAACATCCTTTTAGCAATGGTCCAACCTCGTCGAAACAGCTCGTTTCCTGGGCCTCCTGGCCTGGGAGATAATTTCGACGACAATCAAACTCAAACTTACCACCCAAGCATGGACTAGATAACCGTTACAACAACAACAACAACAACCAATATGTAAGAAATCTTAATGATATTTAGAAGATTTTTTTTTCTAATTACACCTCTTTCATTAAATGCAAGAAATCACGGCAATACTTTCATTAGTTTGATAGAAAGTTTTGCCCAAACCTGAGTGTTCCTCCGCCTTTGCTCCTTGCATGTTGCAAGAGTATGAAATATTCGGTTACACCCGAGCTTAGCCCTTTCTTACTTGTTTTATTTATGACTATGCGTTGCACTATTTTGTACTTAATTTATTAAACTTTCAGTTTCAGTAGGCTATTATTTATTAAGAGCATTTAATATGTTAAATGGCATCTTTATTGTTTCAGTGCAATTATTTGTTTTTTATTCAACCTTTAACTTTATCACGAGTTTAGGGTTGGGGGAATAGCTTTAACAGTTTCGCAAATTTTCATTTTATTAATATCAAATATAAATGTAATATAGTATAGATTAAAATTTTCCGTAATTAATCGTTTTATTCGCTTTAGCAGAAATTATCAATTAAGTTAAAAACTACTCATACAAATGGGCGCAAACGCTGTTAAAAATACCGAAAATTACATTACACTCACAATTTCAGATTTGTTTTTATATTATTAATTAATAAGAGTCATATGGGTATTTATTTACATTTGAAAGTATATACAAGTATTTACATATGTTTGTATGCTTGTACATATATTAGAAATGATTGTAAATACATATATATGTAAATGTATGCACATCACGTATTTTGTTACTAAAGTTACGAATAGAATCTCAGTTAGAGATTAAAATTTGTTTTATAACGTTGATATCGACTTCCAGTAGAGATAAAAAATTAAACATGGCAGTATTCCCTTATCACAATTTATCTGTTTTCGATCAGTTGACAAAAGGATGATGTGTCTATAAAAATTGTAGAGCACATTTTTGAAAAACCATAAATAATTAACAAGCTTGTCTGTTTGGAAATTGGCTAGGCGACGTCTTTTAAATACATTAATACACATCACGACAAATTTCAAAGAAATAAAATAACATGACTGAATAAATCATATACATATGTAGATAGTAATTATTAGATTGCCAGATTGGCCCCGCCAACTAGCGGTTGTTATCATTTAGGATATCTTAACAGACGAATGATATTTTTTAATAATTGATTAATTTCGATATATGTGTACATATATAACTAATATAACCGACAAAGACAGATATGTATATATATATATCAAAATCAATCAACTATAAAAAATATCAATTTATATATATGTATGTATATATATTCGATATCAAATATTGGTTTACAGACATATGAAAAATTACATTGGGATCGCGTAATCCCTTATACTATTTTCTCTTAACTTGTAACTTATATTATGTAATTATTAAGCTACTTGTAGTTTAAATCACGGTTTCATTTCAATTCAAACTTGCATTCATTGATTTTTGGAACATGATCACATAACAATCATAATCAGATGTAATTAAAAACAAGTAAGGAAGTTCTAAGTTCGGGCCAGCTGAGCATTTGATATTCTCGCAACTTGCAAAAGAAATTACGACAGGTGTTGGCAAAATTGTATATTAAAGGAAGTATTGATCCGATTCAACCCATTTTTGACACAACAACGTACTATTATCGAGAGTTTCATTTATTTATTTTATTATATGAATTTCAATTATATATCTTACACATTGACCAATATTTTCGGTGAAAAGTCAACTATAGGCACTTGGGTCCATTTAGACAATTTTTCACCTAAAAGTGAGCGGTGCCACGCCCACTGTCTAATTTTGAAGTCGGTTCCTATTAGGCCATCTCATACCATCCCAGAGATAAAATTTAATTTCCTTGGCGTATTTAGTGCTTGATTTATAGCGCTTTTAGTAGTTTTTAACAGTACCATTAAATGGGGAGTGGTCGGGGTTGTCACCCGATTTCAACCATTTTTACACTGTGATAGAGGTGCTAAAAATATTTGTTCTCAGTGCACATTAAACCTATTAGGGGGCGAGACCGATTATGCTCATCTGCAATACCAACCGTCTTACGGTACCAAGAAACATATGTACCAAGATTCATAAAGATATCACAATTTTTACTCAAGTTACAGCTTGTACAGACGGACGAACAGACAGACAGTCAACCGGATTTCAACTCGTCTCTTCATCCTGATAGTTTATATATATATTGTATAACCCTTTATCTAGCTCGATTAGTTTTAGATGATACAAACAACCGTTAGGTGAACAAAACTATTATACTCTGTAGCAACATGTTGCAAGAGTCTAAAAATATCTTTAATACTGCGTATGAAAATACTTTTGGAAGCATAAATTTTTCTGAATTAAAAATAAGAGTTTCTCCAGATTAAAAATTATATATGCATATACCAGCCTCAGACCTATAGTTTTTGAGATCGCAGCAATTATATATCATCGTTTTTAAGTTAACTAGAACTCAGGTCCACATACATATGTATGTACATTCCGCCAAAGCTTGCCCCATTTTCTTGATAATGTATTATTCTGTTACAATAATATTACATCATATTGGTAATAGCTTGGTGGAATTTCTAAACGACTAGCGGTGAAATGTACAAATTTTCTCCAATGTTGAACTGGTGTATCTTCTCATCATCTATTAAAACTGAGCAGTGTAAGCAGTAGTTCAACGTAATATTTGGTTGTTAAAATGGTTAATATAATTTATACAATACCAAATGATGTTATTGAAAACGAGCAGTATAACGAAATAATAAAAAATAATGATTCAAATTTACATTTAATTAATTACATGAAGTTTATGTACAAAAATTGTATCTTCAGACTAAACGTAAATTAAACAATTTCAAGAAATAAACTTCACTAACATTTAAAACACAAATTCCACCTTTGTCGTTCGAGTTATAGATTGGTAATTCAACACTTGTTTTTCTTTAGTATTAATTTCACTTAGTATTCATTACTTGTCACATTAAAACGCAAACAAATACATGATATTAAGAAATATTTGACCGTCACCACACAAAAAAACTAAGTACTTAAGCCAAATAAATTCCTGTCAATAATAGTGGAATGTCAAATCACTGAAAATGCCAAAATCATCAGATTCAACGTATCTAGTTAGTGCTGCCAGAGCAAACAACTTTGTTAGCTGTGTTTCCGTATGCACTTGATTCAGTTAATTTAAAATTTATTTTTACAATTTGACTTTGACTCCCTCAGTGTTCCAAACATTAACATTTTTCTCTGTGTTAAGTTGGGGCGAAATAATTTCCTATGGTGTAAAAAAATTTTACATTTTGCTGTGCAACAAACGCAATTGCGTCGTTTGAATTTTCGTCTTGGTAATTAAATTAATAAACGTGCCACGTGTTATTAAACTGTGGCACTCGGTAGAAAAATAAAAATTCTGACAGGGAAAATAAAATTATAACATTTTTCGTGGTGAAACCGGAGCTCAATAGCTAGGAAAAATTTTTATAGCTTATAAATATGTGTGCATTCCCGGAGAGAGGCATTTAAATTATAATTTTAAAAATTAGTAATATTTAATTTATTTGTATGATTGTTAGCTCTAGGGCTATAAGGCTAATTTTAATAATGAAGATATAATAATAATGCAAGAGTAAACTTTAGTTGGATATAAAAAAAAATATCATTAATCAAGGTTTAGATATGTTACAAGTCTGACTGAAGTAGAACGGTGCGCTATTGAACAGTTACAAATCATTGGAATTGTTGAAAAATTGCTTTCAGAAAATATAAAAAAACTGGGTTTATTCCCTTTATACAATTAACAGTAAGATGTTATTAAGCATAGAAAAGATCTTTAATGAAGCTTGATATCAGTATTGAATGACATCTTTAAAAAAAAATAAGCATTAAAATAAAATAGAAATATTAAGAAATATTTTTTTCATATTTGGGAGAGGGAACTCTGCCGCCAGCTAACTTCACATATTCAAATCATTTTATGCATCTGGTATTGAAAAATAAGTACAGGGTGCCGACAATTCTACATATCGTTTTTTTGTATAAGTTGTATTTTTAATCTTTATTTAGGATATAGAAAGATAATCAGAAATGGATAATTTGGGAAAATCGCAATTTATGGAAATTCCTTACATTGCTCTGTCCATGCAACTTGAAGCAATAGAAGAGCAGCTCAAAATATCAAGCACAAAGAACGAAACGCTGACACCAGAAATAAATATATCTATGATAAACCATGCTATCAAAATAGAAATTGAAAATGGGTCTACAATTGATATCAGCGATTACTTTCAACGAATGCTTAAACTATACAAGCAAAATGAAATTCTTTTAAAGCACATTGTCAGGATAATTTACCAGGTAGTTAAAGAAGTATCGAAGCAGAGGCGCCCACGTGGTTCAAAATTAAAACTATCTTCTGAATGGGCTTATTTGGTTGTGGAATTGTTGTTCTCCAGCACTTGGAGTAAATCCCTAACTTCAGATGTAATATTTTGCCTAAAAATATATTCAAGATCATTTAATGAAGTGGAGATTGTGAATCGGCTTTGGCATATGCTCCTTAGAAATTTAAAAAATAGTAAAGATATATCAATTGCAACGACTTACGTGGTAATTCAGTTCTTTGATGACTTCTCTGCTATAATAAACGGTTTCAAAAATGGACATGATATTGAGCAGCTGATTTTAAAGTTATTGCAATGCGATGGTCGTGAAGAATATAAGGCGGCTTTATATTTGATAAAAACTAAAAACTGCGTATGTACTGATTTGGCAGAACAGCGTTTTTGGATATCCTTTATTACCATATTGGAAAATTTAGAAGAAAACCAGTCACATCTAATCTTACCTTCTCTAGAGTATATAAGACAAAACGACTTTCAAACGGCGGACTTGAAAATATGGTTGGATATTCTTTATCTTAAAATTTTATCACATCAAAATATTCTAGTTACCCGTTGGTCACTTGTATACATTGTCCAGACTTATACCTGTTCAGACATCAGCCCAAATGTTTTGGGCCAATTTGTAAGAGCCAGCAATAATACAAGCTTATATAATTATGAGGGCTACTTTCTTCCCACGGATGCTGTTAAAAACTTTTTGAGGGGAGATGTCGTTCGGTTTCTGGCAATTATGATGGAAATTAATCTGAAAAGTGTTCCATTGCATTTTTGGCTTTCCCATATCCTTGTGTGTAAATCAATATCTGATTTGATTTCTTACAAACTAATATTAAAAATTGCTACAAGAGTTCGGGTTTTACAAAATCCTTTTATCCGGTTAAAATGCATTGAACTGTGTGAGAATACATTTTCCGAAGCTATTAATTGTATGACAATGACGGAATATACCGTTCTAATTGAAACTTTGTACAATGTTACGGATCCTTTTAATAATTTTCCAACATTTTGTACTAAACTTAAAAACTGCATCGATAATGATGATTCGCTGTCACTAACGCAACGATTTTATGAAATTGTTACAAATAATCTGAATGGAGAACTTTCTTTCGACCCTTCAACGTTAATATATGAAAATACTGTCCAAAAAAAAGAAGTAATTCAATTAAATAAATCATATTTGTTAAATGAGTTCGTTTACTGTTTAAAAAATAAAACAGAAGCAGATCGAAATAATCTTAATTGGCTACTTTTCATGCTGGTGTTCGAGACGGAAAATTCCGAAATTGTTCAAAATATTTGTCAATCATTTTGGAATCTGCAACTAGATAAATGTATTGGCAGTCCTTATAAAGAAATAAGTGATGAAATAATATCAAAACTACCTTGCGGGGAAAACACGAAAGCTTTTGTTCGCAAAAAGTTTTCTGACTTTTTCACCAAACAGTATATAACAGATACTCTGGACTTACATATCTATATTGAGAATATGGAGGATATTTTAACTACGGGATCTTATAAAACATTGCTTAAACTTTCTCAATTACTAGTTTCTAATACAGAGACTATGGACGAATGTATAATCGACACGTTTTTAAGACAACTGAAAAGATTCTCTCGCATGCCATCGATTTGTTATGTTGTGTAGGTAAATAATAATAAAGCGTTTTGAATTATGTATATTTAAATATGCACTATGCTATGATTATTTTACAGGACTGAAAACTTATTAAATTACTTTAAAAATATATATTCGTCGCACCAATTAAGAGAAAATGCGGACCGAATTATACGCACAGATTTTGAAAATATTGGTATATGCGCTGCAGTGTTAAATTCTGGTGTCGTTCTAAAGAAAGAAACCTATATTGACGGCATTATAGTGGGTGATATAAACTTCGGAGACGCGAGGTAAAAATACTATACAGAAATTAAAATTTTGTAAAACTATTTTGATTTTCACTTGAAGGATAGAGGAAATCTATTGTCTAGAAGCATATGAAAGAAAGTTCCTTCGTTTCCACCAATTGCGCTTAAGATATATTTCATCATTGCCAATCGATTATAAAGCTATAATACTCATCGAACTTCTTAACAAACTCGAAGTTTTAAGTTCGAAAAGGCCAAGATATTTTGAGAATTCTATTGAGCATCGACTGAAAATGAGAATATTAAATGCAGTAATTTCCTTAATAATGCAATCAAATGGGGAATGTGGTTTCAGTGAAGACATATTAAAGCTGCTGTTAAATCATAATAATCAACTGAACATAACTTATATATACGAACTGCTTGTTGCGAAGTGTATATCTAATGATGATATTATTATAAAACTATTAAATGATGTAAGATAATATAAAATTATAACAAGAAAGTGTGCATGTGAAATACTGCAATCGCCTGTGTATTTTGTATACTAAAGGCTAAACTTTGTAACAAATTTGCAGATGTCATACACGCAATTTCTATTCCTTAATCTATTTAATTACCATATGCTCCACTCAAGTACCTTAATGACTCATCAAAACACAAGTTATTGCTAGTTATAAATATTAGACATAAACAAAATGTTCACTAAATAAATATTTAGCTTTATGCATACGCGCATTAAAATATGAGTCCTTTTGAGTTACTTATTGAGTGCGCAAAAATTTATATTGACCTAAATACACAATATTAATTACTAATATTATTTCTATACTTGAAGGTAAGCAAATATACACCTAGCCAGCAGGTGTCTATTATTAGCATCGCTTATTGTTACGCTGTCTTAAATCGGACCATGCTTTCCAAAGACTATCAAAATGTTGTTATAAACAACCTTCTTCCTCTCACCATGGGACCCCATTTCCAGACGCGCTCATATGCTCAGCTGGTTATTTATAAAATTTTAGAAAACTGTAAATGGTATGTATAGCTTAACTCCAGTAGAAAAGTTAGATCATAAAAATATCAATATTTTAGTGATGCCGACACTTTATTTTCAAATCAATTTAATTTGCAAGAAGCAATAGCTGTGGCCATTGGATCACAACTGAATGAATTTCTAAACGATGTACGGTTGTTGCTGCCATATATATATTTAGCTGATACTAAACATTTTTTTGATAATGTAATGTTTATTACAATGGCACCAGCCGACGAATATAATTCGAATTTGGATTTTACAAAATATGAATTATCAAGGCATATGTTTTCAAAGAAAAAACGTAGTTTTATGAAAGAGTCGCACACACCTGAGCAAGTTATTTTGGCTAGCAACAATGGTATTAATATGCAGCGTAAAATGAACCCGGAAAGCGCTCTTTGTACTAAAAGTAGCATTGCTGAGGCAGAAGCTTCTGTAAATTCTTACGTAAGTATGTGTTTTATGACTATGCCAATGTCCTTTAAATGTTATAACTTCTTAGATGTTTGTAGTGGCAAGCCTTATAGACAAAATTCCTAATATTGGAGGGATTGCGCGATCATGTGAAGTACTTGGTGTGGGAAATTTGGTTTTAAGCTCAAAAAAACTTGTTGAAAAAGACGATTTCAAAAGTGTGAGGTAAGTAGTTTATGTTATGGGTATATTTTAACTAATAACTAAGTTTATTTAATTATAGCATGACTGCTGAAAAAAATTTGAATATTTTTGAAGTTCAACAATCTAATTTGGAAGAATTTTTAAAAGACAAACGCGAAGATGGTTTTGATATTATCGGAGCCGAACAAACTGTTGCCAGTCAGAATATAATTGGGTTTGCATTTCCCCGAAAATGTGTGTTGGTTTTAGGGTGAGTGCAATGAATGTGTAATATGTAGCGATTTATTACATTACAATATTTCCAGGCACGAGAAAGAAGGTATACCAAGCAATATTTTGGCGTTTTTAGATTATACTATTGAAATACCTCAATTTGGATTATTACGTTCCCTAAATGTACACGTAACGGGGGCATTGTTTATGTGGGAATATTGTAAGCAACACATCGTTGGAAACTCTAACACATAAAATCTTTTGACTTATTTATATATATATTTATGTATCTATGTACGAGTACATAACTATTGTCTTTTTGCCTATAATGAACTTTGAAGTTTTTCATTAACTATTTTTACCATTATTACACAATATTTTTTTAATCCTATTAAAGCAAAGCATCCATGCCTTCTATTACTGAAGCAAAGAATACTATAATATGTCTGTGGTTTTTTGTGAGCTTGATTGCCATCAGGTCGGAGAAGGAGAAACTCGGCAAAACACATAACACATATGTAAATGAATATTTTTAAAATGTTTGCCTACCCTTCACAAATACAAAGGTTCCTTACAAGAACTTTATTCCGATCGTTCAATTTGTATGGCGGCTTTATGCTATAGTGATCTGTTCTGAACAATTTTTTCGGAGAATACAATTTTGCTTCAACAATAACTCGTGCCAAATTTCGTGAAGATACCTCGTCAAATGAAAGAGTATTCCATACAAGTACTTGATTCCGATCGTTCAGTTTGTATGGTAACCTGTTCAGGGTATAAAAAAATTTCCTAGACAGAATTTAATGTAGATATTGTTTAAGCAAAACTAGAGAAATAATTAGATGACAGCACATCTGTGAAACTACCTGACTTCCGAAGTTACATTGTTACAACACTGTAGCTGTTGTTGTAGTGGCAGAATTCTTGTCAGTGGTCGAGGTGTATGATTTATGCATATTTTGTAACAATAAAGTGTATTCGTATATGTAAATGTACATATGTTTATTAATGAGTAAAAATTGAAAAGATATTTCTCAAATATTTTGCTCCTTCTTGATTTGAGTTTGATAAGATTATTCACTTTAGAAAGTCGAAAGTCGAGAGTAAGTATGTAAAATATACTGTCCTTAATAAAAAAGTAAAACATGTCGCAGTTTTTGCTTAAACTAAATATTTATATAAACAATTTATATTACGACAGTCTAACGGAAAAATAAGCTAAACCGTTTATATTATTACTACTTTTATCTTTCCACAGAATTTGTCTTATCGCTAGTGGTAACTGGATATTGCAAGGGCTCCTCGCTCACAACTGGGAAGAGGTTGGACACATTTGTCAAATCGCCAACATCCGTTATACGAGGCTTTAACGAGTCACTTATGTTTGACTTGCTGAGTTGGTAATAAGCTGTGTTGCTGTGGGTTATATTAACAATAGTTCCTGTTAAGGGCAACGTTTCCAAAAGTTCCGTAGGACTGCTAAATGCACCAATATTGACGGGAGCGATACCAGTAAGTACTTGTCCTGATATATTCGTTTGAATCGGTAGAGGTACATTACCAAGGTTAATATGGCTCTGATTAGAATGGGTGTCATAGAAAGTTAAATCCACTCGTTCTTGACTAAAAATTAATGATTACTTTATCGTTTGTATGTATATATATTTTATGTAAATATGTATGTACATATATACAAGTTTATGTGTAAACACGTGTATGCATGTATTACCTTTCGAAACTGGTTTCGTTGTCATCGACTTCCGTTAATATTCCAATTTCATAAACAACAGCTTTCACAACATAGCTATTCAAAGAGCAATATCAGCAAAAACATTTCTACAAAATTCTAGAAAATTTACATCATTGGGTACTTACAGGTTTTTTGGCGTATCGTTAACACTGGTCATCATTTCCTGTAACGTTGAGTTATCTACGTCTCTTGATGATTCCCGCACGGGCAACGCTATCGAGCCAGTGGAGAGCAAAGCCACCAAAATGGAAACAAAAACGGTGCATTTTATTAGCATTTTTAACTGATTTGCTGTAACCCGTTTATGCTTGATAGCTTGGATCCCTTCCTTTAATGATCGATTTGCTTTCAACCACACTATTTCTCAGTAATATAACGACTTCAGACAGTTTGATCTTCGTTTCATAATTTAAGTTGTTTTTATATCGAACTCATTTAACTGGAATTGATGTTTCGGAGCTTTTGCAATTTCGTTAATTAACATCGACTGTTAATTATCGATTCTAAGGTGTTAATTAGTAAGATGATAAAGGAAGTGAGGTATGTGCTCTGAGGTAGCTCTAATTAATTTAGCGCGTTTTGTAGTGCTTAATTTAAAAGCGAAACCTTCCAATGGGCGCATGCTCGTGAGTTGACTACTGAGAACCCTTGAATAACACTATTCAATTATACTTGTACGTGTGTAGTAGCTCTTGTACTTACATATATACGAGTAAACAAGCAAACTTAGGAAGATTACTACAATATTTATAGCAAAGATTAAAAATTAAGATTGTATTCTCTATTTCAAACTCTGCACATATTTAAATCGTCAATCTAGCAATCTCGGTATAGCGGGAAGTAGGGCTAATTCGTGTAAAAACAGTCATGTTTTTTGTGAATCTTTTGTGACGACACAGTTTACTTCTCTATACTCTATTACATCATCTATAATAAATGCTACATTAAAGTATGACATTCGAAGAATGTGATGTAAAATTTATGTGTCGGAAAAAAGTGGGTTACGGTGCCCATCCGAAAACGAAAAATTAAGGTTCATTCGTTAGATAATAGCTTTTCCAAATAACACCGACAGTGATTTTCGAAAAAATGCTAATCGGCTAATTTGTAAGATAAAATAGGGTTCAAAATTTGAAGAGGATTGGTGTAGTAGTTGCGAAGTTGTGAAGGTCACCGACTTCAAAAACGTGAGCTGTGAGAAAAAAGCTTTAAAGTTTTGAAATCAGATCTAAAATGTTTAATAAACAAGTATAAAAATACCCAGTACTTCGTCAATTATTGTCAAATTTTGCTCCAATCGCCTTCGAATTTAGACACAACATTCTTGGGATATGCATTCTTAAAAAAAAAACAAGTAAGGATGGGCTAAGTTCGGATGTAACCGAACATTTTATACTCTCGCAAAGTCAAATGGTATACTCGTTTTAGATTTCTTTGTGGATCTGGCCGCCAATTTTTGGTCACAAGGTGGCATACTTTAAACGCATTATTCACGCAAAGTTTTACCCCGATACAATCATTGTTGCTTGATTTGCATACTGGAAAGTGAAAGAATCAAATAGAATTTAAAATGGTGTTATATGGGAAATAGGCGTGGTTGTAATCCGATTGCGCCCATTTTCATATGAAAAGAACGATATGCACCGAATTTGGTTGAAATCGGTTAAGCAGATCCCAAGATATGGGTTTTCAGCGAAAAGTGGGCTGTGCCACGCCCACTGTCTAATTTTGAACGCGGTTCCTATAAAGTCACCTCCTACCATCCCAGAGATAAAATTTAATGTCTCTGGCGTGTTTAGTGCTTGATTTATCGCGCTTTTAGTAGTTTTTAACAGTACCGTTATATGGGGAGTGGGCCGATTTCAACTATTTTCACACTGTAGATAGAGGTTTTAAAAACATTTGCTTCCAGTGAATTTTAGGAGATATGCCCATTAAACCTATTAGAGGCGGGACCACGCCCACTTAAAAAAAAATTTGAGCTGTAGATGCCCCTGCCTATTGTGATCCTGTGTACCAAATAACAATCTTGTATTTTATTGCGGAGCTTAGTTATGGCAATTTATTTGTTTTTGATTAATGGCGTTTTGTGGGCGTGGCAGTGGTCCGATTACGCCCATCTGCAATACCAACCGTCTCACGGTACCAAGAAACATGTCTACCAAGTTTCATAAAGATATCTCAATTTTTACTCAAGTTAGAGCTTGCACGGACGGACGGACAAACGGACAGACAGTCACCCGGATTTCAACTCGTCTCTTCATCCTGATCATTTATATATACATAACCCTATATCTAACTCGATTAGTTTTAGTACTATTATACTCTGTAGCAACATGTTGCGAGAGTATAAAAATTGAAAAAAAAATTCTAAATCCTATTTTCACCTTTAAAATGTTAAGACTTTTAGTGCATTATATTGATTCTGAGTTTTGAGATTTATGATCTTGATCATAAAACCTCTAGATAGAAATATAAAAATTTAGCGTTAAAAATTAAAACTATTATGCGCGAAAAATGGACGGATATATGTTCTTTGTATAACAATTATGCCATTAATATGAGTACGAAATTAAACTGAAACGCAACGTTTTTTGGCTTCTATGTCAAGTCTGTAAGATCTTGTTGTTTGGCATTTCGTTTTATGTATTTTACAATAAAACGTGCTCCCAGCTTAATTTTGTTGCGTTACATTTAACATTCAGTTATGTGCAAAATGGGATCTTGAAGATTAAGTCATCAACGCGCAAGCGGATGCTTCGCCTGATATTCAGCAGATCGCTTAAATGTTATTCATTGGCGTATGAAAGTTGCTTCGATTGTAAATTTTTTTATATAAATTAACACGAATCTTCTTGGAATATGGTCTTTCTATTTGTAAAAATGGTGAGAAGGTTCATAGTGCTTACAGCCAGATTTAAAAAGCCCACTCAAGGACAGTTGTTCTCAAGTGTTATTTAATTTTCTTGTATTGTCTCATTAGGTGTTCTTTTCAGTATTTTAATTAATCTTTTATATTGTATTGTATTAAACTTTTTGCTTTACGCTTATGACTCAATAATGTGTTATTTTAAGCATAATAAATTTTCATATTTCCTCTTCAAAATTTTTGTTACCGATTTCAACATCATATTATACAGGGACTTCTTCAGGAAAAATTCTGGAAAGTTATTGGATCGTGAAGTAATTTTTGTTCCAAGACAAACTCGAAGTTCGCCTTAATTAGACATTTTGGTTTAGAATTTATAGATCCATATACGTTGAAATTATTATTTACAACTTTGAAAAGTTGTGGTTTGTAGGCGGAGACATTAATATGGGTGCCATAAAATACGGATTAAGTGCATTTTATATTATTTTTTGCGTTTTGTCTACCATCTACCCTGTCGTTTGTGTAATATTTATATTGAAATCTTTAGGTTATAAAAAAAATATCGGTGGATGTCAATGTTTTGTTGTTTTAGATAATATTTATTGACATTATGTGATGCTACTGGGTGAGATTAAAGCTTTTTAGTACATATCACATGGAACATATATGTTTATTTACGAAACTTAAATAAATTTGGTACTTTTAAGCTAAATATCTGTATTACATATATCATATACGTATGTTTGTACAGAAGTATACACTTTACTAAAGGGTAATTAAAAGCATCTCTCGAATGAAATCAAGCAAAATGAATTATCAAATTAATTTGCACCTTTACACGCTCGATCCGAAAAAGCTTTTGTGCTAAGTATATCATCGAAACTTTAAAAAGCCAAACTCGTAGCCAGTGTGCTTCTAAAAGAATTCGTGTCTGAGGAAAGCAGTCGCATCTGGTCGTAAAATCACACTTCAAACGAATACACTCGTATCTACTATGATGTGGGGTGCATCATATTTAGTAGTAAGTGATTAACAATTAATTTCGGTTTGCAATAAAAATTATGAATTTGAATTTTCAGTTGCTTAGCACATTTTGTGTAATATCTTTAGCACACTCATCCCAATTGGATGATATTTTTACTGGATACTTAAAAAACGTAAATCTTTATAATCCAGAAAAGCACTCACAAATAGTAAAGCGTCGAATCTATGAAGATAACCAAGATGGAAGTTTGAAGAAGATTTCCTTACAATCGCTTATTGGCAATTTAGAGCAGAATTTTTTACAATCAGCTTCTAGTGTTGGCAATCTCGCGCAACAAACAACGGAATCAACGGAAAGCCATTTAAGTCCTATTGAAAATCATGCAATACTCAAAAGAAAAACGGACAATGAATCATTAGGCCAAGCTATTATTTTTGATGAGGATCACAATAAAACCATGGTTGAACCAGAAAGTGTCGATTCAATAAATGCATCCAACGAAAACATTTCTAATAAACAATCAGGATCTACTCGGATACAGGTTGACCATATTTCTGTGCAACCACATCATGGAAATTTCCCCATTGTGCCGGCTTTCCAATTGCATCAAACAAAACTTATATCCGCTACTTTTAAGGACACTGATTCTAAACCAACCCAAATCATCATTAGAAAGACAAACATCCAGGCTACCCCTTTGGAGGAAAAATCTGAAACTATTAATGACCAAATGGAGAAAAACAACAACACCAAACAAACGGTCAATGAGGAAACTGAAAATCTGTTGCCATCAACAACGAAAAACACGGTTTCCGATTTAAAACAAACTGAGGCGGAGCTTAAGGCAAATGTAGCTGAAATCGAAGCAGAGCCTGTAATATTATCAGCTCGAGTTTAATTGTTCGCAAGTTATATTATGCTATTTCTTCTAAATATACTATATGCAGATCAGTGTGTGTAGATGAATACTCCATGTCAGTTATTTAAAAAAGTTGATACAAAGTGTAAATACAAATCATATGACCTGCGCAAGCAAACAAAGCAATTATGAAACGGGCTCAAATTGTAAATTTAAATACATATACTATATCTACATACGTACATATATACTATGTATAATTATTGAAATCTCACAACGCATAAGCAAACAATGGCTGCCCAGTTCCCAATACGTATGTACATGTATCAGTGTTTCTATGTATGTGGGATATTTGAATTCAAATTAACTTGAGAAATATTTTTCTCTTTAGTTGTTGACATACGTATGTATGTGTATATGGGCGGAAGTACATATTCTTGTATAAATAAAATCCCACATATATCATATATGCAAACGTAAAAGTTTGCTAACCTCATTTTAATTTAGATTACATTTCATAACATACAACAATAATAAAATTATTTAGAAAATTTTGACAAATTCTATACAACTCTATAGGATATATATATATAAATACTCCTTATGTAACAGTTTGTAAATATACGAAATCGGCCTATAATTTGAATTATAATCTTAGATTTTATATAGATATCGGAATAAAATTGTCGAACTCTGGTAATACTTTTATGTTTGACTATTTAAAGGGCAATTTGTTTTTATACCCTGAACAGGGTATATTAAGTTTGCCACGATGTTTGTAACACCAAGAAAGAAACGTCAGAGACCCTATAAAATGTATACATTAATGATAAGCATGATCAATCAAATCAACTCAGCTCGATTTAGCCATGTCCGTCTGTCTGTCCGTTCGTCTGTATATATACACCTTTTCTTTTCTCACAAAAAAGCTGCTCATTTGTCGGAAAGGCCGATATCGTACCACTATAGCATACAGCATATAGAAAGTCCTTTACTGATAATATCAATCCTCATATCTAAAATGCGTAAGATCCCGTCAATATTTTCTCTAGCTCCCATATACCTAATATAAAAATTTTCGATTTATACCGTATATATAGGTCAATCTGTGAGGTTTCTCAATTCATAAAATATCATTTAAAAATATCATTTAAAAAAACAAAAAACAGGAAAATATAAAATTATTCAGACTCTTTAGGGCCATTAAAATTTCTTTTTTTTTTTTGCAAACAATTTATTCAAAGTTTGCTGAACAGCTTGTTTTTTTTTTAAGTTGAAGGTAAAATTCCTTGTAATAATTAATATCATTTACTACCGCACAAGAAACTTTTGCATTTCTTTCGTTATCAGGATCGTTTTAAAAAAAAAACTCCATTGCTTCGTCAATTAGATTCATTGCTTTAGAAATTTGCTGTGAGGTTGACGTCTCTTATATCTAGTGAGCTGTCTTCTTCGTTAGCGATATCCAAATTCATTCGCATCAATTCCTCGTTAGACATTTCTTGGTAATGAGAAGCTAGCAATTCATTTATGTATATAAATTTTATTTATCCCTTCAAAATTTGACTCTCTTGCTATGTTAACAATTTCATGACATATAGTATCTGCTTCATCATCTTGAACTTCTAAAGTGGATCTGTCTCCATTTTTCTTGTGTACAATTTATAATCAACCTTCCACTGCAACTATGCCCTTTACAATGATTGAAAAATATTCTGGAATTCCCCGAAATCCAAAAAAAATTTAAATTTACAACACGGGAAATTACCTTTTAGAATTTTTCAAGCAGAAGTCTTTGCTATAAGTCAGGGTGCAGAAATATTCTCCAACGAAACTATCGTAACCAGCGTATCGCTATACTCAGCGATAGTCAAGTGGAGCTAAAAGCGATCTCAGCCTATGAGACTAAATCGCTCTTAGTGGAAGAGTGTATAGAAAGGCTGAACAGCGTAACAGTTTGCATCCTGATCTGGGTGCTGGGGTATAAAAGAGTAGCCGCAACGAGCTGGCCGACGAACTCACCCGCTCTGCTGCGGCTTTTAGGATGATGGGGCTAAAACACTGTATTGCGGTGGGGACAAACAACGTAAAGAAGCTGTTCAACACGGAGGAGAGAGTGGGTAGAGAAATTTACTGGCAAGCAAGCAGTAGGTATGCGCCATGCTATTGTTAGGTTACAATCTAGCAAGGTTTAAAGACATGATTAACCTCTCCCGAGACGAATTCCGTCTCCTTGTCGTGCTCTATACTGGGAACTGCAGGCTCAAGATACACCTGTCCAACATGGCAATGGCTTCTTGTGTAAACTGCCGGATTGGCGATATTGAACCGGAAACTCCAGAGCATTTGATTCTACATTGCACAGCTTTTTGTAGGCGCAGGCTCAAGGCCCTTATATCGATTTATGTGGATAGGTATCACATCACCTCAATAGCGCCCAGGAAGTTCCTGGAATTCGTCAGAGTGCTAGGCCTTTGGGAATATATGTGATGGAGGAGAGGACACAATAGACCCGGTTTTCATTCTTTCAAATTGCTAGAGTATAAAATGTTCGGTTTTACCCGAACTTATGCCTTCCTTACTTGTAAGTGTTTGTTTTACCCTTGATCAGCACTCAAAGACAGTGCATGACTTACTGAATTTACTGACATCTAGTATGACATCAACTCGTAAAATACACCAGTTGCTTGCACAGAAAAAGACTGTCGGAGAACAAGTTGGGCCTCTGGTTCATACTAATTGCAGAGTAGTTTCTAATTTGTTGATTTGACTGCTGGGTACTCACGTACAATGTATGAATGTATGTAGATGTAAGCCCTTGCATGATGTAAAATAACTTGATAAAATATTGATAAAACGGCATGAGGGGCCCTTCACCCTTTTATTTTAATACCTAGTATTTGGGAGAATACTGTGAAAAGTTTTGCATGCATTTTTACATTTCTCTATTATGGTATAGTATACCTACATATGTAAGTACAAAAGTATTTAATTCTCATATCCCGCATTAAAGAACTCCCCACCTCTCTTTATTGGAAACCACAAATGTCATTACTTTGATAAGATATCGAATTGAACGCCAGATGATAAACGACTATACAATACTCCATCAAATCATACTTTCGTCAACGCAGCAACTGCTAAGCAGTTAACGTTATCGCCATTATCGTCGTAGGTTTCTGCTTTCGCAGTCAGTTCATCTACAGTCACAAGTTGTAAAAATTGCTCGGTGAAAGCCAAAGGAACGATAAATTCCCTTTGATTACCATTTATATTGAAAATACTCTCGGAAAGCAATATAAGCATTATGGCTTCTAATATCAATATCGGCTTTGCTAAATGTTTCATTTCCTTCATGGCAATTGTGATATTGGTAATTATTGTAATTTATTAAACGCTCAAAAATAAATAAAAGAAAATATTCATATTTGTTTTTTGGACACATATATACTTGTATATGTACAAATATACGCGTGCAACTAGTTTCTATAACTATAAGTTTCTATAAACCTAAATAACGCGAATGTCGGAAAAAGAACAAAGTATTCGAAACATAAAACATTCATACATAACACCAGGTTAACTTCTTTTTCTTCCCAAGTCAAATTTAAATGAAGACAAAATCTGGGTTCGGACTAGGTTGCATGATAGACTTGAAAAAAAATATTGACTGCCTAATTTGTTGTATACACACATAGTATATATGTATGTATATACACACAAATTTTGATTGTTTCGGGGAAACATATAATACGTCCTACCATATGTGTAAGCGTAGTGCACAAACGTGAATCACTTTATATTTTCAATCATTATTAGTTGTAAAAACATTGCATAATCACGTGTACATATATTGAAATATGGATACCTTTTCAGCTCCAAGGCTGTGTCTATCTTGGTTTATCAATATACGGAGTAACGCGGGAGAGCTGCCAGAATGAAGCAACGGCAGATATAACCAAAAACCCCTTTGAATTTGTAATGCGCTTGATTTACTTTCAAAGTATGTGTGTTCCTAGTTATATACTCGTACATACATATGTACATTGAAACTGTTTATAAGCGTAAAGTCTTAAATGACGAATATGTTCTATTGTATAATTACCACACAGACAAGGACTAATAATAATTATAGTAAATTAAAAGTAATCATTATAGCATTTAAGCACATTACTACTATATATATATAAATAATAACTTATCTAATTTTGTTACAAGTTACTACTTTGCAACTGATGTGAACCAGAGGCTCAACTAGCTAGACGACTCTCTTTTTCCCAAGCAAGCAAGTGGTATTTTTTACGAGATGATGTCCTACAAGATAACAATTGTCAGATTTCATTCAGAAACCTTACAAGTGGTAGTTTAGACCATCTCCAAAAATAGGTACAAAATTTAGATGTCGATTTTAGTCCCGTAGCAGTCAAGATTTCGTTCATAAAAAAATAGTGTAGTTGACCGAAGACTACGGTCATGAAAATTTAGATTTGTTTAACTTAATGTGCAATGAATTACTTTAAAACAAGAAGAAACGTCAACTTCGATGGCACCGAAACTGTAATACCCTTTAAAAATACAAAAGATTCCATACAAGAATTTGATTTTGATCGTTCAGTTTGTACGGTATTCAAATGGTAATAGAAAATACATCATCATCATCAAGTGATTTTGTGTAGTTCCTATATTCAATCAAAGGAATACAACATTTTGTACATTCATTCTATACTAGTGTCACGTGTGTGCAAGTTACAAACACACCGTATTTTATTCGCCTATAAATTTTTAGTTCCCGTTGTGATTTGGGCTTGGATTTGGGAACACTTGTACTTTATTACCTATACCAATAAGAACTAAAATTTTCTTAAGCCATTAATTCTTGCATAAATTCTCAGAACTTTAATTTTAAAATCTTTTGTCGTTGAAGATGTGAGTCATTGCCAAAATATACAAGATATTTTCTTAAAAATATCGGCGCTGCCTATTAAAAATGAAGATTATATTATGTTTTTAAGGAGAATATTGCGGGAATCCAAAAGTATCAGCGCCAGGTCTTTCAAACGAAGTTGTAATTGAAATGGTTTGGTCTAAATCATTTGCCATTACAAATCGGACGTATATATTTTTGATCACATATGCAGCAGTAAGCGCATTATGGATAGTAACATCTCTGCTTGTTTTAGGTAAGTTCAATTTGTATGGTATGAAAACATATATGTACATAGTTGTATGTAGATATGTGCGTACCTTTCATTTTTTTGTAGGTAAAAACAGTGTATTAAAATAAATAAAATTTTAATTAATTTGAACAACCTAAATTTAAACAACGAGAAAATATGAATGCGAATTTTTATATCACTTTTATTTAAGATCTCTTGAAAGTACCATTAATGGTACGTTGCCAATATGTCAATATGTAAACTCCTTCGCTAATTTTGTTTCAGTGATCTCATTTATTGTAAACAATATTTTTATTTATAATATGAACGTGTATTTGAAATTTCAAAAGGAAATAGCCAAATCCAACAATGAATACTTTAAACAAGTAAGGAAGGGCTAAGTTCGGGTGTAACCGAGCTATTCATACTCTTGCAACTTGTTAGGATCAAAGCTGGGGAAATACCTTATGCACAACGATACACTATTATAAGAAAAACATGCTCTTTTAATTTCATTTAAATAACTCACATATTGACCGATATATGCGGTATAAAGTCAGCCGTAAGTTTGGAAATCTTTCTATTAGATATATGGGGTCTTCTTTCTTGATTTGTACACTGGAAAGTAAAATAATCAGATGGAATTTAAAATTGTATTATATGAACAGCAGGAGTGGTTTTATCTGATTTCGCTCATTTACGCCATGTGATGTAGAAGTATCAGAATAATATTACCTGAATTTGGTAGAAATCGATAGAGTAGGTCCCGAAATATGGGTTTTCACTTTAATATGGACGGTGCCACGCACATCGTCCAAATTTGACACCGGCTCCTATAAAGCCCTCTCACACCATCTCGGGTGTAAAATTTTATGTCTCTGTCGGTTTATCGCACTTTTAGTAGCTTTAAACAAAACCGTAATATGGGGAGGGGCGATGTTATAATCCGATTTCACCTATTTTCACACTGTCGTAAAAAGGGTTTATACTATTTGTCCTGTGCAAGTTTGGGTGATATAGCTTCATTGGTGATGGAAGATATTGTATATACAATAAACATATTAAACATAACACATATTTTTAAAATATTTTTAAACCACAGGTGACCCCCCTTAATTTGATTCGTTGTGCCAAATTTGATTTGTATCTTAATCGGTTTATGTTTAGTACACATGTTTCAACAAGATATCTAAATTTTTACTCAAGTTAGCGCTAAGACAGACGGACAGACAGTCACTCGGAATTAAACTTATCTTACATCCAGATCATTTATACATACATAACTCCATATCTATCTCATTTAGTTTTAGGTGATACAAACAACCGTTAGGTGAACAAAACTATTATACTCTATAGCAACATGTTGCAAATATATAAAAATAGTATGTACATATACATATGTATACAGTAATGTTAATATGTTTTTTACACCACAGCTTCAATTTGCGGACGTGTTACAAACTTGGTCGCAGCTATTTCATTTTGGCCATGGTTTTTAATAGTAATCGGAGGAAGTATTCTAGACGGTGTAGCAACTGGTTATTATATATGTGACGTTATAAACACAACTGTAAGTAATACATACATATCTACGTGGGTTGAAAAGGGTCCTAACAATAAAAAAACGTTTTTTTAAATGAAAATATGGTTTTATCTTTCAACATATTGATATCGGTTCGATAGTGGGAGGAGAAAGAGGAAATAGTCGCGAACTGCCAAATCTGGCGTATGCACTGGGTGGGGTAATACTTAATAGCGTAATTCCTTCAATTTATAAGTCTTATCGTAAAGTGGATAAATGTTCGATGTTATGTTCAAAAAACGCGATACCCATCGCCCGCAAGGTCTTTATTTTTGTAAATTACTCAATTTCATTTTACAATCACACAAAAAAAAATTTCATAAATTTTCGTAATGGCTTAGGTTTTACTGCCTTATGTGGCTTTTCTGAACGAGAGGCCTCATTTGGTGGTTTGGGATTTTTCAACCCATGCAGAAAGTTCATATTTAAATTTTTTATTGAATTGTAAATTTCTTTGCTAAACACTTTCAAATTTTAGACAGTAAGCGATGCATTTACATATATCGGAGCTAATACCACAAATGGTGATTTAATGAATTTTTTGGAAAGCTATGATGCCTATTTTATTACTCCTGCATTAGTAATGACTTGTTTGAGTTCGCGCGTGGTGCTTATATGGCTGCTTAACATTTTTGGTACCGGGTTTTGTTTGTCATTATCTCACGTTCTGGCAAAAAATGTAAAGACTGCGAATTTTTGAGCATATGAATGTATGCCGAAGAAATCAATTAATTTTTTATCTTTTCAGAGTTCTAGTTTAATAACAAACGAAAGTTCAATCAATACCTCTGGTGATCACAGCTCTTCTATTGCAAATATTGAAAAAAATATGATAAATACCAACCCACGCCGATCAGAAGTAAAACCCATTCAATTCGGTGTGAATACACCAGAGATAGTAACTGAACAAGCTTCAATTCAAAATGAAATAAGCTTTAACGACCACCCAACACCAAATACATCGACTACAATTCGCCAAGTCTCATCGGTGTCAACACAAAATGATAGCGCACAATTGAATACAGTTGAAAATAATACATCGTATCGCCACGCTGATTCACATCCTGATCGTCTTGACTATCCAGCCACGAACTCCAGGCCAATTTCCCCCATTTCCCCCATTTTGCCTTTGGAACAAGTTCAACACCTATCAACAGAAACACCTTTGAATAGCCGATATTCAAGTGTAGAACAGTCAAACTCTCGCCTGAACGCAGAATTACGAAGTCAATTACCATGGTCATACACCAATATGCTAGGTAAACCTCAAGTACCACTCAAGCCCCAAAAGCAAATTTATCCGGAAATTCCAAAGCCTGATTATACTACATAAAATTTATTTATATGTTCATACATACATATGGTATGTATCTTTTACTTTCTATTAACGTTTGAAACATGCAACAAACTTTTGTGAAGCAATTGTAAATCAAACATGGTGATACTTTTATGAAAACCTGTATAATTAAAAAAAATACTGTTTATGAAAGTAACAAAATTAAATGAGTAACAATCGAAATTCATATAAATTAAACACAAATGATAAATAAATTGCTTCCAATAATGTAAATAAATAATATCAAAATGTTTCCTTGACTCTAAACGCTAAACAATGTTAAGTTCGGAAAATGCATTCTCTATTTATAGCTACAAAAGTCATAACATCATTTCGGAAAGCAAATGTTATATGTAATAGAAATTTTGAATTTAAATTACACTACCAGTCAAAATGACTGGTCTGATTAATCTAGTGTTAAAACATAATTTTTTTGCAAATGATTATATGTTACAAAGTCAACCGTGTTCCCATTTTTGACACTAGGGCACAAGTTCTATTGGTATTCTATGGTAATATATACAAGTACTTCCTTTTGGAAGATGTAAGCTGAGTTTCGTAGAAGGAAAGATAAAGGGATATCAAGATCTTCGGTGTATCCCCCGTCCAAACACCGCAGTCCATTTTGGACCCGGCGGTATATATTGAGGTAGTATCCTCCTCACCTACTAAACCTCTTCTCCATTCACGTCTAGAGGGTAGGGCACAATAATATCACGAAGATATTATTTTTGAATTTTAATCACAAATTCACGACAGGATTGCTAAAATTTGTCTTTTTGTCTAAATATTTTAAGAGAAAGGTGCCGATTAGACAACGTTGTTGTTGTAGTTGTGGTTATCCAGGCCCTATTTAGGTGGCAAAGTGTAAGTTAAATGTCATCAACCATATAACGGGAGGCCGTAAAACGTGCTGATTCGACAACGTCAGACCATAGGGAAAGAGGCGTTAGATGAGTAGGTTTCATTGGGCATGCATAGAGGTGATTAGACTCAGCGGTCGATTCTGGATAAGTAGGAGTCTTACCTCCTACAGTACTCAGAACGAAGAAGGCGACCATACCGGTGCGAAGTAGTTTAAGACCGGCCGGCCGATTGCCTTATATGTTGCCAGCTAAGTTTCTTTGGCTTTTCTCCATGAGCTGCCGGCTGGCGACGTGAGGAGTTTGTTGTGGCTTTGTACTAAAATCTTAGGGTTATTGACCGTCGGAATTGTAATGCCATCGACTGTAATGTTTAGATTCAGTCTGTACTCCTTCCTTCAGATAGTCGATGTAGATTTAGTGGAGGAAAGTTTTAAAGTCCCTCCAGAGAAGAAGCGAGAAAGGTCGAAGAGATTGCCGTTTACTTTTGAGCGCATGCCATCGATTCCATTACCCGACATCAATTTCGTTGCAATCATTAGCATACGAGGTGATAGAAATACCTTTTGGTGGTTGGGGGAGTTTCGATATGTAGAAATTAAACAGTAAGGGGGCGAGAACACCCCTTTCCGGGACCCCCTGCTTAATTCTTCTCGACTTTTGACCTCGAAATAGTACCGCTTCAGCTCTGGAGGGAAAGCTTTTGACAAGCTCAACCAACGCTACGAGGATCGTCCTCTCACAGGGTGGCCTTTGGTTTCGGCCATGAACTATCTATTCGTTTATGACGCTAAGTGCTGTGCACTTTTGGGGAGGCTCAGGTCTGATAGGCTCAGGTGGTGAGTTAGTGTCGGGAGTAACAAGGTCTCAAGTGTCTTCTCTACTGGGGAAAGGAAAATTATCGGACGGAAAGGCTCCCCTTTGTTGACGGGTTTTAGTAGTGGGACCAGTCTTCCAACACATCGGGTATTTGAAGAGTGGTTAGCGACACCAGTGAAAGTAAGAGGGGCGCGGTATTTCGACATTTTGCGCAGCCGTTGGGTCATACATCGTTTGGTTGTTGTTGTTGTAACGGTTACCTAGTCCCCATTCGGGTGATAAATTCCAGATTCGTTGTCGTCGAGGTCATCTAACGGGAGGCCCAGGAAACGAGCTGTTTCGACGGGGTCGGACCATAGGGAGAAGGGTGTTAGATGGGTGGGGTTTGTTGGGCATGCAAAGAGGTGGTTAGTGTCATGCGGAGACTCATTGCACGCAGGACATGTGTTTAGTATGTCGGGGTCTATTCTGGATAAGTAGGAGTTTAACCAGCTACAGTATCCGGAACGAAGTTGCGCGAGACACATCGTTTGGTCTTGTCTGTCGAAGGGTGCAAAGTGAATTGCCGGCTAATGTAGCTCGCGCATTTATTCGCTTCCGCGGAGGCATGTCCATCGTATTGGATTTAAACCCGGTAGTCATGCCTCTTCGGATTTGACAAGGCCTTGAGAGGTTACAATACTTCAAATGCTTTACCAATTTTGTCAGCTTATGCGAATTTACCATGTGACGAATCTGCGAATTGAGATCCCTTATTCGGAGATCGCAGGGATCAGCATGGCGTAAGGTGTCGCGCTCGTTAGCTAAAACATCTGCTTTGGCTGGGAAATTGGGTAGCAACAGCGACCACCTTGCGGAATTAATGCTCACGAACCATGACGTTCGTAGGAATGGGTAGTGCGGTAAAGGTGCTCTCGGTAAATTATGTGAACCAGACCCAGTTAGCTTGGTTAAATATCCTATATATCCTTGATTTACTTTTTGATGAAAATATGTTCTACATCAAACAACCCATCCCTTGGCAAAATATTGTAGTAGAAATTTAAATTTCCGCAGCTGCGTCGCATAATTAATGAATCTATAAATACACATACATACTTTTTTATTACAAGCTAGTACAAGAAAACAAAATACAGAAAAAAACTCATCTCCATTATTTCATTTTCATCAAAATGTTCGATATGTTGCTATTATAAGCACATATGAAAAGTTTTTAAACAATTAAAAAATGATATATCGCATTTAATTCAGTAGCAAATCCCAAGCAGCATCTTCTTCTGTGGCCTTTCCATTATTGGTGCTTTTGTTGGCTACATTTTTAACATCAAGAGTATTGAAACCTTCACACACTTTTTCAGAGCTTGATTGAAGATTTGTGTTTTTCTTTACCGATGTCGTGCCCGGACAATCTCCAGTTGCTTTTATTTGTTGGAAAGCACTTTGATATCCACCAGAATCGAATCCTGACCAGTTATTATCATTCATTTCTCCGAGTTGTTGATGATACGAATTAGATTGAGTTATAGTTGGCTTAGAGGAACTATCCCCCCAATCCCAGTCACCGTCACCTGTAATTGAAAAATGCTATTGAGGAAATTATTAAAAGAATAAATCTTTCGCGAAAAATTACCACCAAGAGAATGTGATCGTTGATAGGAATTATCATTGCTACTACTATTGTTCCCATTTGGATTGAATTCATTAGATGCTACATTACTTCCGCCAATATTGTTCCAACCTCTTTTGCCGATATCTGTTACCTAATGAATTTTGATAAATATTAGAATATTTATACAAGTTTTAGTAGAAAACAAAACAAAAAAGAATCAAAAAACAAATCTTAAATAATACGAACCTTGTACGCCACATCGGAAACATGACCTTGAACAGTTTCTAATAAACTGCCTTCTTTAATCTGAGAAATTATATTTAAAAAAAAAATTAAATAAAACAACAAAAAAAAAATAAAAACAAAACAATGTGTACCCTTATCTCTACAAATTAATACAAAAAAGATACAAAATATATTAACTGAAGAAATGAGGATTATGTGGTACTAAAGATAAGAAAAACACGGAACTCCAAAAAATTATCCATAACATACCTTTGAAGAAGCCAAGCTTACTGTCGTCACAGCTTTTTCCTTTGCCGTACTTGCAATTTTAGATGCTCCTGCCGAAAGTAAGCTCCAGCCCTGTTTTAGAAAGTATTAATGCGAGGAAACATTTTTATACAATGTTATCATTACCGAAGCCAAGGAAGAAAGCGTAGAGTCAATAATTTCCTGAGATTGTGTTTTTGATGGCGGATCTCGAGAATATCCGAAGCCCGAATATTTCCCTCCTTGGCTAGGAGGCAAATTGCTGAATATTTTTAAATGTAAATTAATTTCAAAATTAAATATATAAAATAGAGGTAAAGAACACCCACTCTGGACGCGAGGCATTTTCCATTTTTCGACGCTCGAAAAACTCTTCCTTTTGCTCTTTGAACTCAGGCGTATTGAACTGCTGATAATTATTTGTATTATTACCACATCCAATGTTTGATTCTGTCTGATAGCCACCTTCAGAACCACTAATTTTGGAATGAGAAGTATAATTGATATTTTTGTCACCGAAATAAATTGTGGTAGCGGAAATACGATCTTTTGCTTCCTGTAAGTCCCAAGACTTTCCTTGGGCTAGAGTGGATATTTTATCCCGGTATAGAGCAGCAACCTTGGAATTATAGCGTTGGGTAATGGGTGATCGATCATCCCAACCAGGATGTTCTTCGAAAAATTCTCGAGCTTTATTGTTTCCACCGACTTTCATTTTTTCCAATTCAATATCTTTCCACTTGTCCATAGTTACGGAACGTACAAATGATATGTGCACGCCCAGACCACGGTGTTTCCCTGAACATTCCAAACATATCCATATACCATACGTAACCGAAACCCATTGAGGATTGTGTGTCCCGCACTCAAAGCATTTCTAATTATTAGAGTAGAACAATAGTATAAAAGTATACCTTAGTAGTTACCGACATAATTTCATTATTTTTTAAACAAACCGAGTTTTCATCCTTGGGTTTTAATTCTTGAAGAACACGACGTGTACGTGGACTAGCCATTATAAAAGAAACCACTTTTTTTGAATAGTTACTAAAATAAAATAAATTTAACTCAACATATTTCAGCACTTATTTTCCGTATTGTGAAGAGTACGAGGTTGTCACACGCAGTAAAACAAATTGTTGACGTGTGACATACAGTGTGCTTCCTTTATTTAATTTACCCCTTTAAAATTTATTTGCAAAAAAAAAAAGAAATAAATACTTTAATATCATATTCAAAAATTACAAATACATATTAAGTAGTAGTTAGTAAAGCGCTTAGAGAAGCAAACATAAGAGACAAAATTTTTTATCAGCTTTAATAAAAATGCAGTATTACTGCATCCATTAGAGATGGCTTGGCAACCATATTATGCTACAATTTTTATGGAAGAAATTAATCCAGAAAGAATGTTTAATATTATTTTAGTAATGGGTCCGCCTGGTAATTAGTATTTATACCGAATTTTCAAATATTGATACATTCAAAAGATATTTATATTATTTTAAGGTGTGGGTAAAACAACATTATTGCGAAAGATATTTGAAGAAGTACGTCTGATTTACAGTTGTCAGGGATTCTTTACTGAGGAAGTACGGAATGAACATGTACGTGTTGGTTTTGATGTTGTGACCATATCTGGCCAGCGATGCGTATTAGCGAGGTTTGGATGTTTCCTAAAACAGGATGATATTCATTTAATCCATTTTTAGGGAGCGTTCCGAACAGAGCAAACAGATGCCAAAAGTGGGAAAGTATTCTATTTACATAAACGATTTCGAAAAGCTTGTACTTCCTTTGATTGCATGTGCAAATTTCAAATATGAACTTCTGGTCATTGATGAAATTGGAAAAATGGAATTGAAGAGCAAAAAATTTGAAAGTACTTTATATGAACTAATTCATAAAATGCCCATTTTGGCTACTATACCATGCGCACTTATCAAACAAAGTAAACTTATTGAAAGTTTAAAAAAGGCGGCTAAATCCAAGATATACGAAATAAATAAAAATAATCGTGATACAATACAGAAAGAAATCGTGAAATGTATCAATGCTGTGTTAAAAAAGAATTAAGAAAATGTTTTATTTCTTCTTAAATACAGTATATATATTTTTATGATGCTTCTGTTTGAGGCATTTGCGCAGGTTGCAATTTGTTTTCCCGAATTGACCGTTTTCGTGAACGCTTGGGTGATTTCTCAAAATCCATTTCATTATATGTTTGTTCAGTAGCTCGCCAAACCATCTCCTGTCTTTGAATAAGTTCTGGGTATCTCTGTTCAAACTCTTTGTTGGGAGACAACAGTAATTCCCACTTTTTTTCAGAATTAAGACGAGCAACGGATTGTAGAACCTCAGCAGCTTCGTCAGGTGGGAGTTGTGTCGCCGTTATTACCTGACGACGATATAGATACTTGACACGAGAAAATCTGAAAAGCTATTTAAAAATAAATTTAATAAATAACACAGAATATTGCATATTTGTATAAAACTTACCACGTAATCTCGTGCTCGTATCATTAGCTCTGAAGAAACACCGTTTGAGTTGGATAATGTATCTGTAGGATAAATTATATCGGACTGGGGTACCCAATTGCCATGGATCAGAACTCCAACTTGGGGTAAAGCGCGAAGAACTTTTTCACAAGATATACTGCAATCATTGCAATCCTGAAGTATAGAGTATATATCCTCATAACTCATCATTCGCACTGAAACAAAAATAATTTAAACCATTTAACAAATTTAATAACACCACTCACCATCTTTCAGAATTACTTTAAGTTGATCAACTAGACACATTGACTTTAGTCGAGTTTTGCTAATAACCTTAGGTGGAAGTACGGCATCTATGCCCTGGTCCTTGCCATCCTTAGGTAGAAGTTTCTTCACATACTTTTGAAAGTCCAATTCTAATGCCAAGTTAATCTGCTGATTTGTTGCAAATAACTTTTGTCTTTCAAGTTCTGCCGTGGGGGACTTTCGCGGGTGCCAATATGTCTCACACCACGATTCTTCACTGCTTCGTTTTATAAAACTTGCATATCCTTGTTTTTCCTTAGCTTTCGACTTTTTATTTCCTACGCCAGATTTCGCGAATTTTACGGTCACTTGTTGTAATTCTTCCTCATCATCTTCATCATTGAGGGCCTTTTGTTCTGCCTTCAATCGTTTGTCCTCTTTGTCAAAATGAGATAATGAAGGACGTAACTGCAGTATATTAGCCAAGGGTGTCAAATGCAATTCCTTATCCGAAAGGATACCAACTACATATTTGTCCACATCATCCAACGAACGTGTACTTGTGAAAGCTTGCTTATCCATGACTCCGCGTTTATAAGTCGGACGTTCTCCTTTTGTTTGACATTTTCCGTCAGAAGCCAAAGCGAATTTCTCTCCTTTAAAACGGTCATAAAAATGCGATTCTGTGTTTAATGCAAAATCAACTTTGACTTCTTGGTTCAATGGCTTTACACAGCAGTTAACTACAGCTGAATTATCAAAGTTGCTTATCTGTGTTTTGGTCGGATACTGGAAAAGATATAGATTTTCCTGAAGATTTTTGGACAAAAATATGGGAATCTGTAATAGATAAACTTTCTCATTACTAAATTAGATGACTTTTAATAACAAAGGCAAGAACTCAACCAACTTCTTCTATAATGGCATCATCACCAAAGCATTTGTTGGACATTTTCTTACACTATGAATAATTATTAAAACTTAAAAACCTTATTTAATTTCTCTTATTCTGTTTTTTCCACATATGTAATTTTAAAGCCCTCACATTCAAAATTTCATGATTCAAAACATCCAAGCGTGAAGAATTGCATAGTGCTGGAAGATATTACAACAGTATGTGTCATTATCGATAAAAAAAATTTACTATTCTATCGATGTTTCGAATGTAGAAGTTTCAAACAAATATTAGATTAAAATAAAAAAAATTCTAATTTTATTATGAATGTGCTACTAATAACATTCGTCGTCGTAGCCGAAAGAGTTTAGAGTAAAAATTTAACAGCAACTCTTTCGTTTTATACGCTACCAGAGGATGCCAAGTTTCGTAGAACTAACTGTCAGGAATAAGAACACAAGTATGTTACTCCGTTCCTCTCCAACTATATTTGAGGTGCCGTGTGTGAACGGACTTGGGTCTTGGGAACGGACTGGGAGTCATGCTGTCTGTGTGAGCTCCTTAGGGCCGTGTAGGTCCTATCTTGGCCACTCGACTGGAGTGGCAGGGCAGTGCGCGAACATGGTGCAGGTTGCACAGCCGTTGAGGCAGATGTTGCATTATTGCGTTGACAGCATGGGGCCACGTAACTTGTGGTCCACTCCCTCTGTGAGCTCGAGTTGCCTCGCGAAACCAGAGTGACCCTCGCGCAACTTCGTTCTGGATACTGTAGCAGGTTAAACTCCTACTTATCCAGAATAGACCCCGACATACCAAACACATGTCCTGCGTGCAATGAGTCTCCGCGTGACACTAACCATCTCTTTGCATGCCCAACAAACCCCACACCCTTCTCCCTATGGTCCGACCCCGTCGAAACAGCTCGTTTCCTGGGCCTCCCGTTAGATGACCTCGATTTTAATTAATAAGTTTTAATCGATACAAAATTATATTCCATACCTCACTGAGTCAGTGTGAGTGTTTTCAATAGATATATGTATTATAATGGATTTTTCGATGAAGACAAACGAGCATATCACAGCAGCTGTCCCCTAAAGACAACCACCAAGAGCCGTAACTGCTCCTGGTGGTCTAGCAAGCTCTCAGTGCTAAGGAAAACGGTGCGCAAGCTATTCAATAAGGCTAAGCGCACCGGTAACTGGGAGGATTACAGATGCAGCCTAACTGCTTATAATAAGGAGATTAGGACTGCAAAGCAGAAGAGCTTCAGGAAGTTCTGTGAAAGCGTCTCCTCAACCCCAGAGGCAGCTAGGCTGCATAAGGCTCTGGCTAGGGGTAAGACGGACACAGTACTAGCGATCAAAAGATCTGATGGGACCTATACGTCCAGCGCAGAGGAAAGAGCCACGGTTTTCTGCAACAGGGGGAGCAGGTGCTACTGCCCCACCTTGTTCGGCTGATGAGGGATAGCCTTGCGCTGGCATATATCCCAGAACCATGGCGCACTGCAAGGGTGATCTTCATACCCAAAGTAGGTAGGAAGGACTACTCATTGGCGAAATTTTTTAGGCCAATCAGTCTTACTTCCTTCCTACTTAAGTGTATGGAAAAGATCATAGACCACGAAATACGATCGAAGGTGCTGAAGGCTTCACCGCTTCATGCGAAGCAACATGCCTACAGAGCAGGCAGATCAACAAACACTGCTCTGTACCAGCTAACCTCAGATATCCAAAATTCGTTAGATGGGGGCGAGGTGATGTTATGCGCCTTCCTTGACATCGAAGGTGCCTTTGACAATACGTCTCATGAAAGCGTGTCAAGAGCACTGGAGAAAAGGAGTGTGGCAGCACCAGTGCGCAGATGGATAAACATCAACCCCTCCAAAACTACAATAATTCCCTTCACCAGACGGAGGTCGCTGCCAGGCCTCAAAAGCATATCCCTTGACGGCAGAGTGGTGGAGATGGCCAACACGGTCAAATATCTGGGCCTCACGCTGGATTCAACACTACGATGGAAGCAGCACGTGGACCAGACCTTAACCAAAGCCACAAAAACAATCATGGTGTGCAACCGACTTGCTGGGAAATCCTGGGGGTGCTCCCCAAGGACAATCAGATGGATGTACACCATGATTGTGAGACCGATTATCACGTATGGAGCGGTATCGTGGGTTGCTAAAGCAATGCAGACTTCGGTAGGACTCAAACTGTCGAAGCTGCAAAGACTTGCCTGCATCTGCGCGTCGGGAGCAATGCGAACGTGTCCGACCGCAGCACTGGAAGTCATGCTGGAACTTTCACCGCTACATCTGGTAATCAAACAGACAGCCAAACGAACTCTACTCCAAATGACATCAGAGGGAGTTGGCAAAGGGAAGGTAATCTCATCCCAGCAAATGGAAGCGCTAAGTAAGGAAATACCACTAGCCCTTCTTCCAAGGGACAGCATTACCAAGTAGTAAACTTCAACAGGAAGTTTAAAGTACCCTTGGCAGCAAGTCTGAATGGAATAATTCATTACTAGACCTGCAGCTACGGGAAAGTACTATCAAGTGATACACCGACGGGTCAAAAACAGAGGAGGGGATTGGTGCAGGGGTCGCTGGGCCAAGCACCAAACTCTCCATTCCCATGGGAAACTTCCCGAGCATCTTCCAAGCCGAGGTCTATGCTATAAGTCGGTGTGTAGGGATAAACCTCCAACGCAACTATCGCAATAAAAGTATTGCTATACTTAGCGATAGTCAGGCGGCACTAAGAGCGATCTCTGCCTATGAGGTCAAATCTCTTCTAGTGCTGGAGTGTATAGAACGGCTGAACAGCCTATCAGAACACAACCGAGTGCACCTTATTTGGGTGCCTGGCCACAGGGGTATAGCCGGAAACGAACTGGCTGACGAGTTGGCCCGCTCTGCGGCCTCCACAAAAATAATAGGACCGGAACATATTCATAGCGGTTGGTCCACATACAATCAAAGAGCTTCTCCGTAGGGAGGAAAGAGTAGGTAGGGAGACCCATTGGCAACAACTTCAGGGCATGCACTATGCCAGACTGCTAATGGGGGGTTACGACCACAAACGGTTCAAAACCATAATTAATCTCCCAAGGAACAAATTCCGGCTACTTGTCGCTTTCTACACCGGCCACTGCAGGCTTAAGAAGCACCTCTTCAACATGGGCATAGCTTCTTCTGCAAACTGCCGGTTCTGCGACATAGAGCCGGAAACCCCTGAACATCTGCTGATGAACTGCACAGCAGTCTGCAGACGCAGAATCAAGGCCCTGGGACCCATGTTTCCACACAGGGATTGTATCGCCTCACTAGCACCCAGCAGAATTTTGGAATTTATCAACATGCTGGGCCTAGATGACACGATATGACTTAGGGGAGGGCACAATAGACCATAGGTCGCGGAGCATACCTCGAAATCAATCTATCTATCTATCTAGCTCGAATATCGTCTGTGGTGCTGCTTGTGCAGCACACTCAATTATTGCAATGAAATATTTTACCTAAGTTCAAATCCTATCAGATATTTTTATATACTATTTTTTTATTTTTATAACCCTTTTTTATTGAATGATATTTTAATTCTATTTTCATATTATTTCCCTCATTATTTATATTTTCTTGTCAGAAGTCAATTTCTTTCGTTTTTATTATTTAAATTTTTGTTTATGCGCGTACCAAAGAACATCTGTGCATATGTATGTATATACATTTTGCTTGTAGAGTGGTGTAGTTCGTTGCGTACCCTGATAGGTGTGGTGACATTTTATTTTCGAACTTGCGCGTTTTCGATGTTCCTCATCGTAATTAACATTTTAGTACAGCTAACATTTTTTCCTTCTCTATTCATTAACATTCTCTAGCAGCCCTTATATAGTAGATCTTTAACAAAACTTCGCCACTAGGACATTCTGGCAACTACGAATTCGCTGTCCAGTTGATTCTGGTAATTTATCGTCGATTCGATTTTGTTCAATCATCCGTGTTCGTCACAGTATTTTTTTGGAAATGAACAAAATATTTTCTTGCAATATTATTCTATTAGCTTCACTATAAACTAATAAATTAAGTCTACTTCCCGAATTAACAAAGTGTTTACGTTTTTGGTACAATTGACTGCTGATCTATGCTTCTTCTTCTCAACTCAAAAGAATTACGAAAAAGTAACGGTAATTATTGTAATTTCTTAATCTATTATTCTTGATATGCATGATTTAATTATATAAGGGTATGTCGATAGCCCAAAAACAACAATTCGTCAAAAGTAATTGGACCCATAATGTCAAAATTAGCCGTTTTGATTTTATGATTCAAAAATAAATTGTTCAAAGATTTCAACCAATGAAAATTTGCTTTTTGAGTGATAACAAATGCTTCTTTCATAAGAGAAAACGCACTCCATATAATCCTAGATTTATACAATGGTATTGACGCAATCTAATATAATTGAATCATGTACATACATATATGTAGTATACTTCTGAATTTTTATTTACCTTTTTGATTTCAAATGTTTATGTATGAACGGAGATTTGCATCATAATTGTATCATATTTATATAAAGTCAATCGAAATTAATGTATTTAAACAATAACTCATAGAAATTTTAGGGTTTATCATTATTTCTATTGGGACATCCATGCATAATAGGTATCTACATGGATATGTGCATCAATATTATTCATAATTTTCAAATATGCCTTTTGCAAAAGTAATGGTTTTCTTTCTAGTCGTATCCGGCATTTTAATGTTCTCTTCCAACGAATAAATTTTCTGAGCCCACTGCCAGCATGAGCTTAGTCCGCTTAGTCCGCGATAACGTATAAATTTGATTATAAAACAAATTAAATACCACAAAAGCAGGAGATAGAATATTTGGTCGAAAAATAGAATAATAGCTAGAATTACTTCTAATGAGTTCATAGTGCCTTTATAATCGTCCAACCACTTATCGGTGTTTTCGTTATCCCTAGAAACTACACATCATAATAATTTATATATATGTATATACATATGTATGTATATATGCAGATAATACTACATATTTTAGACTTACCTTTAATACTGCCTAGCTCTATGGTTGAGTTTACATCGATTTTAAGGCATTGGAATACGTCGTCCCATTTCCGTTCAGCTGAAAGCTTGTCTAAATCCTTACATCGATTAAACATTCTATGTAGACGTTTCTTTCAGAGTAAGGCAATGTTATTTTATGACGGAATTTTCTATGGCACATGATACAAAAATAACTCAAATTGTTGCAAAATGACTAAATCCGACGAAAACATTTTAGACAAATTCAAATTTGTATCCAAATTATCAAACCTATTTCATGTTGCAAACATATCAATTTGCATG